TCTCTCTCTCTCTCTCTCTCTCTCTCTCTCTCTCTCTCTCTCTCTCTCCCCCCCTCCCTCTCCTTCTCCCCACCCCCCCCAAACCCTCTCCCCTGCGGTGTGCTCTCTGAAATAGAGAGAGAGAGAGAGAGAGAGAGACAAAGCAGCCATAGATAATATGTAAATGAATAGAATGGCTGTGTTTTAATAACACATTTTTCTTATAGACATGGAAATTTGAATTTCATACAATTTTCACCTGTAATGAATTTCATGCCATCTTTTCATTTTCTTTCAACCATTAATAAATGTAAATACCACATTAGCTCATAGGCCATCCAAGAACATATGATGGGGCTGGATATAGTTTGCAGGTCATAGTTTGCTGATCTTGAATATGCCATAAATTAATTTTATCCATTAATGGATTTTAAAGTAATTTCCATGTTTTTGACTTTAAAAATATTCTAGTGGTCATTCTGATAAACAATATGACTTATCGTAATTTCCTTAGGATATATTATGACAAGAGATTTGGCTAAGAGTCAAAGGGTTTAAGCATTTATTAAAACTTTTAAAAAATAATGTTAACTTTTAAGACTTACACAACATTTCCACTAGTAGTGTGTGAAAGTGAACTATATTACTAACACTGGGTATTAGTTTCTTCCACTCTACCTATAATTTGGTAGATAGAAAATGTCATGTCATTGTTCAGTTTTGCATTTCTTTACTACAAATGAGTTTGTATTAAATGTGTATGAGTTTGAATTTTTTTCTGTATATTTTTTGGCCTCTTATGTTTTCTCTTTTGTTGTTGTTGTTGGAGTGTTCATCTTTTTCCTACTGATTTGTAACATGTCTTATATTTTAAGGCTATTTACCCTTTGCCATTGTATTTTTCTAGTTTTATCACTAATCTTTCAGTAGGCTTATGTGTTTTGCTGTGTAGGCATGTTTTATGTAGTTGTAGCTATTAATCTTTCACCCTCTTTTTTATATAATTGTTTTTTATTATATTCATAAAGTTGCACAACTACTGTTACCTAATTCCAGAATAATCTTTTATTGAGCTTTGTCCTTGTGTGTTTGTTTTATTTAATTGACTTTAAAAAAAAATTCTTTTGAAGCATTCTTGAATGTTAAAGACCTTATGACCTATTTTAGGTTTCAGAAAATTAAATAGATGCCTCATCTTGCTAACATAGAGGGATGCTTGAAGGATTCTTTCAATATTGTAATTGAATTAAATTTCTTCCCATATAAAAACAATAAATAAAAATAAAGATGATTTTTCTTTCACAAATAGGTAAAATAGGAAAACCTGGAAAAAATCTTAACCCATTAGCAACATATTTGTATATTAGGAATGAATATTCAGAAACCTCCATATTGGCAAAGTCTGTTGACTCCTTTGAGTATCTTGAGAAAAAAAATTAGCATTCCCTGCTTTGGGTTGTGCTTAGTGATCCTAGCAGGTTATAAAGTGTGATTGTTTTATTTTGAGAGCTTCATATTTCCCATTCTAATCTTTTAATGTTTTACTTGCAATTTAAAGTTTTGCCAGTGAATTTGGTTGAAAGGCACATAGATATTTTATAATGTACCTGGGAAGATGGTGAAAGTATTGAATACTTGATTCTTTAAATTATTACTATATGAATCTTGATCATCTGGATATAATCTAAACAACTAAAATTTGGGGCATTGTTAAATTTTTATTTTTTTTAATTTTTTTAAATTTTTATTTATTTATTTAAAAAAAATTTTTTTTTTCCAACGTTTATTTATTTCTGGGACAGAGAGAGACAGAGCATGAACGGGGGAGGGGCAGAGAGAGAGGGAGACACAGAATCGGAAACAGGCTCCAGGCTCTGAGCCATCAGCCCAGAGCCCGACGCGGGGCTCGAACTCACAGACCGCGAGATTGTGACCTGGCTGAAGTCGGACGCTTAACCGACTGCGCCACCCAGGCGCCCCATTGTTAAATTTTTAAACCACTTGGAGATTTCTTTTAAATAAAATTTATTCTCACTTCACATATATTTCTGAAATACTCTTAAGAAAAATGACCCAATTTCAATTTTAAATAGGTTTGATATTTTGGGCTCTAAAGGAATAATTTTTAAACATTAGATAAGATCAAGATTTTTAAAAAAATTCAGAGTATTTATCTAAGAATTGATTTTAAAATGCTAATCTTTTTTTTCTTTTATTAGATGTTATCTTTTATGTATGCCCATTTGGCCTTCTTCCATCAAGGATATGATCTATTCAGTGAACTTGGGCCCTACATGAAGGATCTTGGTGCACAGGTAATATTGTACTGTATTGATTGATTCTGTATTATACATTGATACTTGTATTTTTAAAAAATGTTTATTATTTTTGAGAGACAGAGCATGTGTACATGAGAGTTGGGGAGGGGCAGAGAGAGGAGGACAGAGGATCCAAAGCAGGCTCTGCACTGACAGCAGCAAACCTGACCTGCGGCTCGAGCTCAGGAGGAATAAGATCATGATCTGTGCCGAAGTTGGACGCTCAACTGACTGAGCCACCCAGGCACCCCTGATATCTGTGTGTTTTTTTTTAATTGAGATATAATTGACATACAATATTGCATTAGTTTCAGCTATATAAAATAATTTGAGGTGTGTGTGTGTGTGTGTGTCTACATATACATATACATATACATATACATATACATATAGGTTAAATGACCATCTCAAAAGTCTAGTTAACATCTATAACTCCAGTTAGTTACAATTTTTTTTTTCTTGTGATCAGAACTTTTAGATTACTCTTAAGCAACTTTCAACATACAATACAGTAGTGTTAACTATAGTCACTATGCTGTACATTACATTTCCAGGACTACCTTTTGACCCCATTCACCCATTTTGTCTACTCGGCCCCCTCCCCAACCTCTGCCAGTCTGTTGTATCTTGTGAGTTTTTTTTTTTTTTTTTTTTTTTTTTTAGATTCATATATAAGTAGGATCATATAGTATTTATCTTTCTCTGTTGACTTACTTCACTTAGCATAATGCCCTCAAGGTCCATCTGTGTTGTTGCAAATGACAGAATTTCCTTTTTTTAAAAAAATGGCTGAATAGTATTCCCTTGTGTATATATACACCACATTTCCCTTATTCTTCTATTGATGGACACTTAGAGGGTTTCCATGTCTTGGCTGTTGTAAATAATGCTGTGGCGAACATAGTGATGCAGATATTTTTTCAAATGAGTGTCTTTGTTTACTTTGGGTACATATCCAGAAGAGGCATTGCTTCTTCTACATATGGTAGTTCTGCTTTTAATTTTTTGAGGAACCTCCATACTGTTTTCCATAGTGGCTGCACCAGTTTATATTGCCACCAGCAGTGCACTTTTCTCTTCATCCTTATCAGCACTTTTTATTTCTTGTCTTTTTGATGACAGCCATTTTGACAGGCATGAGGTGCTATCTTATTGTGGTTTTGATTGGCATTTTCATGATGATTAGTGATGTTGAGCACCTTTTCATATACCTTTTGGCCATCTGTATGTCTCCTTTGGAGAAATGTCCCCTCAGATCCTCTGCCCATTTTTAAATCAGAGTGTTTGTCTTTTTGCTATTGTGTTGTATGGATTCTTTATATATCTTGGACATTTATATCAGATATATGATTTGCAAATATATTTTGCCATTCAGTAGGTTGTCTTTTCATTTTGTTGATAGTTTCCTTTGCAGAAGTTTTTTGGTTTGATAGTCCCACTTTTTTTTTTCTTTTTTCTTTTCTTTTGATGCCTTTGCTCTGAGATCTGTACTTTTAAAGAAATTTAGCATTTTGGGAAATATGACATTTATTTAATAAAGAAGTTTGATGCTACAGATGATTTATGTGTGGGTTAAATGTGTATAACCAAAAATAAGATTAAAGTTAAAACTATGCTATTGGGGCACCTGGGTGGCTCAGTTGGTTAAGCATCTGACTCTTGATTTCGTCTCAGGTCATCTCATGGTTCACGGGTTCGAACCCCACATTGGGCTCTGCGCTGATAATGTGAAACCTGCTTGGGATTTTTCTCTCCCTCTCTCTCTCTCTGTCCCTCCCTTGCTCTCTCTCTCTCTCTTTCTCTCAAAAAAAAGAAACAAAAAATTTTTTAAAAAGTGTTACAGATAGTATATGACGGTGTTGAAAAGAAAATTTAAAAACAAAGTGTTTCATAGTATATGTGGCTCAGTTTATTTTTCATATCTTACATTTGGATAATTAAAAAATCCTACTGATTTTTCATTTGAAGTTAGAGCTCCTTTTTTATTTTGCAAAAAATGTATATTTTGCTATTTTGAATAATACAATTTTTAGAATCTTAAGATTAAGGAACTCTTGGGAACTTTTTCATTTTATACATACACACGTGTGAATTGTGTATATGTATACCAGTATTATATAGAAATTTCATTGTATTCAAATTATTTTTGATAACTGAGCAGAACTTTATATTAATTTGTTCTGGGACATTCTTTTTTGTTGATTGGTGAGCTTTCTGGATTCATTAGTACCAACTTTTGGGTGATTCCACCCCCCCCCCATAGGTTCGTATTACCTTTTGAGGACAGAGGGTTAAGGATGAAAAATAGAATTTAGGGAAATGAGGAAAAGGTAAGAGCATAACGAGAATTGCATTCATGGACCAAAAGTAAATACTCTGTGTGTGTGTGTATGTGTGTGTGTGTGTGTGTGTGTGTATGTGTGTTGGGATGGTATGCAGAGCATATGCCATGAGTTGCCATACTGTTCCCTAACTCTAAGTAGACTTACGTAGACTTAAGTAGAACTTAATCTATTGGAGGAAACCAACATGTCACCAGACTATTATTACTTTTTGTACTAAGTGCCCTGTCTGGGAATATACATTGAGACTAGGCTTGTTTACATGTGTTAGAAGCCTGAAAATAATGGTAGCTTCAACAGCATGGAGTATTATTTCTCCTATGTCAAGTCAGAGTCCTGGTATGGTGGTCGCTTGATTTGCAGGGATGCAGGCTTATTATATTTTTTGATCCTATCTCATGGTTCAAAGTGGATGATCAAGCTTTAGTCACCATACCTACATTCTAGCTAACGGGAAAGAGGAGAGGAGAAAGAAAGATGCATTCTCTCTTTTTATGAATATCTCCTGGAAATTGTAGAGGTCACTTCTGTGTACATCCTAATGTCACACTAGCTGCAAGGAAAGATGGGGGATACAGATTTAATGCCAGATAATCATGTGGCCTACTAGAATTTGGGGGTTGTATTAAGAAAGAAAGAGAGAGGGGCGCCTGGGTGGCACAGTCGGTTAAGCGTCCGACTTCAGCCAGGTCACGATCTCGCGGTCCGTGAGTTCGAGCCCCGCGTCGGGCTCTGGGCTGATGGCTCAGAGCCTGGAGCCTGTTTCTGATTCTGTGTCTCCCTCTCTCTCTGCCCCTCCCCCATTCATGCTCTGTCTCTCTCTGTCCCAAAAAAATAAATAAACGTTAAAAAAAAAATTTAAAAAAGAAAGAAAGAGAGAATGGTTATTGGGAAACAGCTAGCTATCTCTATACATAGCAAAGGATGAAAGAGTTATAGGAACATACAGATGGAACATGTAACCCAGACTTGGGAGGAAGGCAAGAGTTTCCTAGGCTAGGTACTTCCCACATTCTGTCAAATTTTATGTTGCACCCTCATCCTACATGAAATATAATTTATAAAAAAATTAAGTTGGATTGCAGTTGAATAGTTTAAATAATTATATATTTTAGACATTTATTAATTTCAGTTTTGCTGTTTCCCCCTCTCAGTTCTCACATGACTTTCCATGTAGCTTTGGTGTCTATATGGAGTCTAGTGGAAAAATAGCCTGGTTGGAGGTGGTCAGTTAGGATTTTCTTTTTATAATTCAGTTATGAGATGACTGCATCTGGAACTAGGAACATGTAGTAATAGAAATAAATAGACTTGAGGGATATTTAAGATATAGCCAATTTGAAGGTAGAGGGACATGATGAGTTGAGGTTTAAATGTGTTGAATTTTGAGGATAGGACATCTAAGTGAATATATCTGGAGCTCATAAAAACAAAAAAAAACCAAAAAAACAAAACACCAAAACCTAGATTAAAGGAGGCAGTAGCATATAATTGCTAATTGTAACCACAATAGTGGGTGAATTGACCCAAGGAGAGTTAATAAGTATCTCAAAATCCTTTTTGTATTTCAAAAGATAGTTTTGAAAAATGTAAGTGCTAGAACAGTATGCTTAAAGATGTTACGGTCAAGGGCTGCTAGTATAGAGTGAAAAGAGAATCTGGCTTCAAACAGGGCCCTAAGAGTGACATATTTATTTTATTTTATTTTTTATGTCTTAATTTATTTTTGAGAGAGATAAAGAGACAGAGTGCAAGCTGGGCAGGGGCAGAGAGAGAGGGAGACATAGAATCTGAAGTAGGCTCCAGGCTCCGAGCTGTCAGCACAGAGCCCGACATGAGGCTCGAACCCACGAACCATGAGATCATGACCTGAGCCAAAGTTGGATGCCTAATTGACTGAGCCACCCAGGTGCCCCAAGAATGGCATATTTTTAAGGGATAGTTAAGTATGAGAGCTCCATGAGAACATAGATGAGAGAGGAGGTGGGAACCCAGGAGACGGTGGTAGCACAGGCCAAGTAAAGAACATCTCTAAAAGGAGGAGGTGGTTGTCAGTACAAATATTGGAAAAAAGGTCCAGTAAACCTAGGGCTATTGCATCTAGCAGCAAGAAGGTTATTTGTTACCTCTGCGAGAGTAGAGGGTCTGAGTGGCAGAACTAAACTACAGTGGGTAGTAGTTATGAATATGAAATGGACAAGTGAAGAACGGAATATTTTTCCAGAAGTTGTGTTGTGAAGGAAAAGGAGGGAGAAGGTAGTAGCTAGAGGGGACTGTAAGTTGGAGGAAGGTTTTATTTTAAGGTAGTAGGATTTCCACCTATATACAAGCAGATGGAAATGGAAGAAATTGAAAAGTAGAAAGAGAAGTGATGATATCTGATGTGGTAGGAGTAGAAGGGATTCCAGACACAGGATTGGGGGCACCTGGCTAGTAATAGGCATCTGTGAAACTTCTAATGTCCATCACTAATAGAAGCATGGGACACACCTGCTGTGCTCCAAACTCTCTCTTCCTGATACAGTCTGAGCACATAGGAGACAGGACTGTCAGTCTTCACATCTCCTCAGCTCGTACTTCCTCCAACCCTCCACCATGTGAAAAGATTTTTTTTCCTTTATATTTCTCCTCCAACAGAGAGAGGTGAATTTTTCCCCTTTCTGCTGTAATAGCAGTGGGGTGGGTTGTAGCAGAGGCGTTTACTGCCAGTCCGACAGGCAGAAAACCATCACTTGCATTGCAGTACTATTGTGGAAGTTACACTCACACAAGTTTACAAGTATTAGTTGAATGTTAGGGTCTACTTTGTACCTCACTTCAGTCTGAGTGAATGAATAATATTATATGCCATCAATTAAAGTCTATAAAACCATGGTATAATGGTTATTTTATTCATTCAGTATAAGAAAATGTTGAGGGCATTTGACTAGTGCAACATGTACCAGCCTTATGCGTCGAATCAATGTTACATGTCACCAAGGCGTGTATGCATTAGATCCTCAAGTGCAGTAGTATAGTTGCCATCTAAATCAAATATGTATAGTAGTGATAGTTCTGTTTCAGTGTGTTTTCTTTTGGTTTTTATTAATATTCAGTGATAATTAAGATTGTATGGGGGCATCTGAGTGGCTCAGTCGAGTGTCCAACTCTTGATTTCGGCTCAAGTCATGACCCCACGCTCGTTGGATTGAGGCCCACATTGGGCTTTGTGCAGAGTGTGGAGCCTGTTTAAGATTCTCTCTCTCGGGGCGCCTGGGTGGCTCAGTCGGTTAAGCGTCCGACTTCAGCTCAGGTCACGATCTCGCGGTCCGTGAGTTCGATCCCCGCGTCGGGCTCTGGGCTGATGGCTCAGAGCCTGGAGCCTGCTTCTGATTCTGTGTCTCCCTCTCTCTCTGCCCCTCCCCCGTTCATGCTCTGTCTCTCTCTGTCTCAAAAATAAATAAAACGTTAAAAAAAAATTTTTTTTTAAAAGATTCTCTCTCCCTCCGCCTCTCTCCCCTGCTTGTGTGTGCTCTCCCTTTCTCAAATTAAAAAATAAAAAAGATTCTATGGCCAGTTGTACACCTGAAACTAGTATTCCACTGTATGTTAATTGGGATTTAAAGAAAAACTTTAAAAAAGTATTTTTTTTTTAATTAAAAAAAATTGGTCAGAATCATTCTCTGGCAGGAAAATAAAAATCATGTGTAATAGAGAGTGAATAAAGAATCAAGTAGTTTTTTTTTTTTTTTTTTTTTACAAAGGCTTTTTTCAATTTTGTTTCTAAAGGATATCAATGAAAACATTTGGACATTTAATACTTTATCTTTCTCCTTATTCCTGTTGATATTTACATTTTTATTTTTTCATTTACCCCACGTGAATCAGAGGTATGGGGGTTTGAAGATGAAATGACATACATCACAGTCTAGGAGAGTAAACTCACATAATATTTTATGACCCAGTTGTTTGTTATTCCAGCAGAGTAGTTCAAGAAGCCAGGGCATTTGTCATGATACTGGAAAATCATCTTTTCTGATGGAGAGGAACAAGAAGGAAATGAGATTTTATGATTTCATAAGTTTTTTGGGCTTTTAGAAAAGAATGTTAAACAATGGTGATTTTATGCCCTGACCATATGAGTGATTACTATTTTATTATTATTACTATTTTTAAAAATTATTAGCTTTCTCTTTTATCTGGTGAAATTTTTGTTTGTTTGTTTTTTAAGCCTTTTAGATTTGATCATAACATTAAGAAGCCGACTTGAAAACATGAAGCGTTTTGAGTGATTTGGAAGTATGTGTTCTGTTGAACTTGTGAGAGTTGGCCCACCCTAGCTTAGCTGCTACTCTTTGCTGTTTGGGGAAAACAAATTACCACTGCGTCTTCTTTCTTTCTTTGATTCTGACTACTGCAATTGCTGAGTGGGTCCGCAGGCAACTTCAGCTAGAGTCCTCTTCCTTATTCCGGGAGTTCATGTTATCCCTGTTGTGCCCTTGACAAGGCCGCCTGTCACGTTTGCTTAGCACCACAACTGTTCTTAGAAATGTTTTTCCTGGAGGAGTTATAGACCTTCTCAAAAAGGATTTGATACCAGAAAAGAAAGAAATTCCATTTTAAAGTTGCAGCCAAAATGCTTTTTTAAAGAAATTTAAATGGACTGACTTAGAGTATGTTTTTGAAAAATGATCATACCTTTTTTTTTTTTTTTAATTTTTAAGTCTCTATAATTTTCTCTCTTTCCCCCTTTATAGTTGGATCGACTGGTTGTAGATGCAGCAAAGGAGAAAAGAGAGATGGAGCAAAAACATTCCACCATTCAACAAAAGGTACTTGAAGAGAAAAGTTCAAGGAGAGGAATTCCTATTTTGTACAACTGTTCAGTTATTGGTTTCAGCAAGATACTATCATGTTGCAACAAATCTTATGAGTTGCTGTAGTAATTAAATTGGGTAAATTCCTCATTTTTTGGTGAAAAGTAAAAAGTTTTTAGATGGTCAGGCATGTATTTTATTATTCTTTTAAAATATTTGATATTTGATAGTGATATTTTTGTGTGGTAATCTGAAAATAAAAGGAGAGAATTGGAGGTTGAATCTAATAATACAAGTATATGACAAGATGCCTTCTGTACTTACCTGGCAGGGGAGATATCATGATCACAAAGGTGGTTTTTCTAGGGCAAGGCTTTTCCATTGACTCCAGATGTGCTGACCCTTGCTATTTCCCCTAATGTGGGAAACTCTACTGTATAATTTGTGGTGAGGGACACTGTGTTTGTATGTTCCCCTAAAAAAATATGCCTTCTAGCATTGCTTTAAGAAATCTGTTCCTATGATATTAGGTCAAATCAACTTTTGTTATGGTTTCTTTAGAATTTAAAATACCACTGAACTAGATTTGACATAAAAGATGTCAGTGGAAAAAAATTAAAGTGATGTCAGCAATATAAGTAAGGAAAATATTTTGGTGATGGGTTATTAATATTCATTCAAAGAGAAACATTATTTATTAAGGGAAAGATTTTCTACCAAACCATGTTTAACTTAGTTCCTTCCAGTTATACTCAGGTAAGGCTAACTCTGTGTTTTGTTTAAAGTTAGACTCACTTTGGGTTGGGTAACTTGTTTTAATGGTATTACCATGGAAAGATTATTAAAAATTGGAACCGGTTGTGTCTAATTAAAATGAGAGGTCATGATACTTCTAGAAACTTGTGACTATTTGGTTAAACTGAATTATTTTTTTTTTTAATTTTTTTTTCAACGTTTATTTATTTTTGGGACAGAGAGAGACAGAGCATGAACGAGGGAGGGGCAGAGAGAGAGGGAGACACAGAATCGGAAACAGGCTCCAGGCTCTGAGCCATCAGCCCAGAGCCCAACGCGGGGCTCGAACTCACGGACCGCGAGATCGTGACCTGGCTGAAGTCGGACGCTTAACCGACTGCGCCACCCAGGCGCCCCTAAACTGAATTATTTAACGAATATTACATATCTTTTAATATCTCTCCCTGTGCACATAGCTCAGTGATGTACAAAAGCAATAGATTATTTAATCTAAGATTAATTTGCTTGATTTCAAATAATAGTCAATTGCTGCTTTACTTTGAAGAAAGTAATGCTATTTTTGCTTTTTTCTGCCCTTAAATGCTGACACAAGGCTGCATTACAGGTAAAAAAAGAAAAAAAAGGGAAAAAGATTCAGTCACCTAAAAATTAAGGGAAAAGTGTATCTAATGTAGCTATTTAGATTTTTCAAGAATTGAAATTGATCAATTAAAGAAACAGTGATTCTGTGCACATTCATGTACATGCCTTTTGGTTATCTGTACATATTCCTGATGGATTTATACCTAGGAGTAGAACTGCTGGTTCAGAGGGTATATATATGTTCAGCATTGGTAGATAATGCTAAATCACTTTTCAAAATGCTGTTACTATTCCTGGCAGGCAGCACTGTTCGAGAGTTCTCAGGGCTCCTTGCCACCCCATGGTATTGTGAGAGTTAATTTTTGCTAATTTTGGTGGGTAGATACTGACATCTCATTGTGGTTTTAATTTATGCTTTAGTCATTAATGAACTCAGGCACCTTCCCCTGTGTCTGTTGGTGTATATCTCCTGTATAACCTAAGTGTTTATAGATTTGCCTTTTATGTTTAGATCTTAAATCCATTTGTAATTGGGTGTTTACGTGTGGTGTGAGTAGAGATCCAGTTTCCTTGTATTCACAATCTGATAGCTAGATAATCGAGAATCAGTTATTAAAAAATTTGTTCTTTTCCTATTACTCTGTTATATCCTCTGTTTTACATTATGTTTGTATACATGTGAGTTCTATTTTGAGCTCTTAATTCTTTTCATTGGCCTTTTTGTCTTAATTGTGGCAATACTATGCTGCCTTTATTTATTTATTTATTTATTTATTTATTTTTAATTTTTTTTTTCAACATTTATTTATTTTTGGGACAGAAAGAGACAGAGCATGAACGGGGGAGGGGCAGAGAGAGGGAGACACAGAATCGGAAACAGGCTCCAGGCTCTGAGCCATCAGCCCAGAGCCTGACGCGGGGCTCGAACTCACGGACCGCGAGATAGTGACCTGGCTGAAGTCGGACGCTTAACCGACTGCGCCACCCAGGCGCCCCTATGCTGCCTTTAAGTATTGTAGCTTAATGGTATATCTTGATATCTGACAAAGCAAACCTCCTATCTTCTCTGTTTCAAAAGTGAATTAACTAAATTTTGCATTCTTTTACAAATTTCAAGAGCAGACTTTCAGTTTACTTAACAGTAGCTTTGGAGATTTTGATCGATTGCATTGGGTCTATGAATCAATATGGGGGAGAATTGGTATCTTTATTTTACAGTGTCTTCTAATCTCTGAGCTTGAAATATTAAAAGTGAAGTTTTCTATAATGTCCTTCGTAAAGTTTGATATTTTCTTGTACATCTTTTGTCAAATTTATTCCTAGATACTTATATGGCATATGTTATTGTAAATGCTATCTTTTAAAAATTTCTTTTCTCACTGTTTACTTTTGTTACATACTAGAATAAAATTGACTTTTCTGTATTGATTTTGAAACCAGTTATCTTGTTAAGCTCTCTTTAAATGCTAATTTATCTCTGGATTCTGTTTGATGTTCTGTGTACAGAGTCATCTGCAAATAACGGTAGTTTCTTCCTTTCCGATTCTTTTTATTACCTTGTGGCTAGGACTTCTAACATAATTTTGAGTTGTAGTGACAATGGTCTTTCTTGCTTGCAATTTCAAAAGCAAAAGCTTCAGTTAGATTCCCTTTATGGCCAATCTTGGTCTTGCCTTCTCTTCCCCACACCAAAGCTTCAAGTTTTGATGAAGCAAATGCCCTTGAGGTGAAATCTGGCTTCTTTGATCTGCTTACCTCTTCAGCTTCCAATTTTCACTTAATCTTTTGCTTTTGAGTATTCCTTTCTATTTTGACAGTTCATCAATATATTTAAATTATAGTATATAATTTATACAGTGTTATTAGTTGCTTCATTATAAAATTATGATCTGCCACATTTTAACACTATACAATATTAATTGATTTCATAGTAATTAAATTGAAGACTTACCTCAAGAAATATAGTTGAAAATTAGAAAAATACTTATAATGCTCTATATATCAAGGAGGTCATATTTTAATGTTTTAAGTAGCATCAAGGTTATTAAAAAACTGCCAGCATTACAAATGAAACCTTTAGAATGTTGCCAAACTCAGTTGTATCTGTTGCTGACATCCTGCTTGTCTAATTAAATTATAGCCTCAAATATTATTTATTTATAATTTTAAAAAATGTTTATTTACTTTGAGAGAGAGTGAGTGAGTGAGCAAGGGACGTGCAGAGAGAAAGAGAAAGAGAGAATCCTAAGCAGGCTCTGCACCGACAGCACAGAGCCCCATGTGGGGCTTGAACCCATTAACTGTGAGATCGTGACCTGAGCCGAAACTGAGTTGGATGCTTAACTGACTGAGCCACCCAGGCACTCCCACCTCAAATAAATTTTAAATGAGGGCATTAAAGTTTTCCTAAATTTTTTTTCAAAGACAATGTAGGAGAAAGTGTAGCAATTCACTTACAGATTGTTTCAATTTTTTTAAGTTTATTTATTTTAGAGACAAAGATTGCATGTGGGAGGGGAGGGCAGAGAAAGAGAGAGAGAGAGAGAGAGAGAGAGAGAGAGAATCCCAAGCAGGCTCAGCTCTGTTAGCCCAGAGCCCAACACAGAGCTCAGTCCCACAAACCATGAGATCATGACCTGAGCTGAAATCCAGAGTTGGACACTTAACCTACTGAGCCACCCAGGCGCTCCCAGATTCTGTTTCATTTGATTATTTTGGATTATCATGTCTTTTTAATTTCTTTCTTCCTTCCTTCCTTCCTTCCCTCCCTCCTTCTTTCCTTCCTTCTTCCCTTTCTTTCCTTCCTTCTTCCCTTCCTTCCTTCTTCCCTTCCTTCCTTCTTCCCTTCCTTCCTTCTTCCCTTCCTTCCTTCTTCCCTTCCTTCTTCCCTTCCTTCTTCCCTTCCTTCTTCCCTTCCTTCTTTCCTTCCTTCCTTCCTTCCTTCCTTCCTTCCTTCCTTCCTTCCTTCCTTTCTTCCTTCCACGCCCACTGTGGGGCTTGAACTCACAACCTTGAGATGAAGAGCTGCTTGCTCTACCAACTGAGCCATCCAGGCATCTGAGATTATCATGTCTTTTTATGGTTAAATTTTGAAAGATGTCAGCAGAGTTTTTGTTTTTAATGAATTTTGTTTTCCTGAATTTAGTCTATTTCCATTTTCCATCTTTGTAGACTCTTAAATTTGGAAGGCCCCTGGGTAATTCTCCCTCTGCCTCCCCTCCAGTGGAGGACCCTCACATCCCAGCTTTTTTGGCAGGTGGTCATCTAGCTTCTGCCAGAATCTTTTTCAAGACAGAAAGTTTACTATTCCCTAAAAGGATAGCACTCTAACTTTGATTATTGGTCCAGCTGTAATTTTGAAAGTTCTGAGACTGATTTTTTAAAGTTTTAAAACGGGTAACATCAGTCTTGCAGTTTTATACAAATGACTTTGTAAGTTCATCAGGAAATATTTTAAATATAACACTTCTGATTTCAAAACTTCATGAATCCTTAGAGGAAAATTGTAAGTTTGAATTGCATTCAAGTGAAGAGTAGAATGACAGAAGATTATGAGGGATTCCATAATCCTCATGAAAAAGTGAGCTCAGCACTTCAAATTTAAACTGTACTGTACAGCACTTCAAACTGTAGGTCTTCTTTGCAAAACAAAATTTTATTTTAGGGAAAAAAGCCTTTATTCTACTTCTGAACTCCCTAATAGTGGAGTTATTACTACTATCAGATTAAAAAATACTGTAATAGTAATATACTTAGAGAATAGAGATAGATTTGAGTGTCCCAATTTAAATATATCTATATTACTTTTTAATTTTTTATCATTTATTTATTTATTCATTCATTCATTCATTCATTCATTCTATTTATTTGTTTCTGAGAGAGGGAGAGCGCACGAGTGGGGAAGGGACAGAGAGAGAGAGAGGGAGACACAGAATCTGAAGCAGGCTCCAGGCTGTCAGCACGGAGCCTGATGTGGGGCTCAGACTCACAAAGTGTGAGATCAGGACCTAAACAGAAGTTGGACACCCATCTGACTGAGCCACCCAAGAGCCCTTATGTTACTTAAAAAAAAAAATTGTTACACACATCACAAAACAATGTTAGGATAAAATGAAACAATTTTATTTTTTCTTAATTTTTATTGATTTTTGAGAGAGAGAGAGCACAAACAGGGGACAGGCACAGGGAGAGGGAGACAGGAATCCTAAGTAGGCTCCAGGCTCCGAGCTATCAGCACAGAGCTCAACACGGGGCTTGAACCCATGAAATATGAGATTGTGACCTGAGCCAAAGTTGGATGCCCAACCGACTGAGCCACCCATGCACCTCTAAAATGAAAACATTTTAAACAAGACATCACATATAGTATTTAGTTGTCCCTTTTGTCTATTTGTATGCATATTGTTTTGTGCCTTTAATCAGTGTATAAATCAAGTTCTATTGTTTTCTCTTTCAGAGTGTATTTTATATAATCATCTGTGTTTTTACATTGTCATTATAATAATTAAGTCTCCTCTTTTGTTATGAATACTGTTAATATACTATCTTAATACAAAACTTTGCTATGATTTGTGCTGTTTCTCTATGATAAATTTGGTAATCGTATGAACTTTTTTATTTTGTTTAGGATTTCTCCAGTGATGATTCTAAGTTAGAATATAATGTAGATGCTGCAAATGGCATTGTTATGGAAGGGTATCTGTTCAAACGAGCCAGCAATGCCTTCAAAACTTGGAACAGGTAATATATTTCAAAAACTAGTGTTGATTTCCATAGTCTCAGTTTTCTGACCTTCCCTGTGATTTGGCCAACTCTTTCTTTCCTAATTCTTTAAATTCGCAGTCTACAATAGCATTTGTGAACCCAGTCCATTAAAGATAAGTCTCCCTTCTAAGAAAGGGAACCCTAAGAAGCAAGTGAAAAATGATAGCACTAATTCTAAAATCTAAAATTTAAGCAAAGTTTAAACCAGGAAGCACGAATTGTTTTCTCCTTTGGGTCCCTCTCTGTAAGATGTTTATATACATTTTAATTTAGTGTTTGCTTATGAATTTTTAAGCCAGATGATCCTGAGTTTTTGATCTTTTTAATAACTTTAACCAGGACTTTTAAGAAATGGGCTTGTTTTTAAATGTGAAGTGTGGTGCTCGCTTTGGCAGCACATATACTTGGTATGGTGTGTGTGGCAGTCGGGGCTCCTGTATTCTAAACTTGACAATGACCAAAAACTTGGCTTTCTTTTTCTTTTTCTGCTAAACTGATTTTTAAAAGATATCAATCCAGCAAATATCTGTTAAATATATATATTAAATATTTAATTATATTTTTCTGTGTATTAATCTAATAAAGTAAAATAATTTCAGACATTAAAGAATAAAAAAAGATTGTGTTGACTCAGGATTATACTTCCAAATAGTAGTGATTAGTCTTTTATTCAAGGATGCCTCCTTTTTGTTTTTGTTTTTGTTTTTGTTTTTGCAAAAAACTCCCCCAAAATAGAACTATTTTGTAATAATTGAGAGTAACATTAGGCTCTGGTGACTTGATTTACTAATATATTATTGGCTGAATGTGTTTATTTTATTTGCTACTTGAACAAGATGTAAATTCACTTGATGATAGAGAATATTATTTTCTTTTCTTAAAAAAAATGGACATTAGCAAAATAATAGAATTTTCTCGGTAAGTTTAATGTAGTATACATTTTTGCTAATTTAAATGGAAAACTATTATTCTTGCATATTTAAAATATTAAAATGGGCTCCCACTTACTTTGATTTCTTGGTGATGAGGTTATGTGGAAAAACATTCAGTGGTATTTTCAAATGTCAGTGATTCGTTGAGCCTTTCCCTAGCATTTGATATTGCCAGATATTTAAATGAATGGGGTGTGTTTTATTTGAAATAATTTTTCTTTATCTGAGAATGAATATAAACTGAAAAGTGATTATATATGATATTAAGCCATTTTGAATTATGTAGAACTTCTAAAATAATGTCTGAACCAGAAGGACCAACTAAGTGGTTTGGTTAGAAATAATATTTTTAACTATTATAAAGTGAAAATAAGAAATTAAAATTCTGTTTTCTAAGGTGTAAAAATTAAGACAATAATCTTTTAAGTTTTTCCTGACAAATTTCCATAGCTAGAATAGGAAATTAAAGTAAAAAATAGTGTGTCAAATTTTTGTAATAAAGAAAGATTTCTCAACCAGTATGGTTTCATGAGGTAATGTTAGAATTGAATTTTAACCTTCAGATTTCAAAACAACCTATTTAAAGTTTAACACAGTGAAAATACAATAAATCCATAGAACCTATACCATTATGTTAAGAAGAAATGAAATGATGTTCCATGGACTACTCCAATGAGAAATGATCTCAGACTTCAAAATGAAGCACAGTAAGTGTTAGTGGAAAATTGTATTGCCATTTAGGGCAATAGGAGAAAATTAATACTGATTTAAGCATGGACCTTTCATTTTTTTTAAAAAAAATCTTAATATTTATTTATTTTTGAGAGAGAGAGAGACAGAGACAGAGACAGAGAGCAAGCAGGGAAGGAGCAGAGAGACGGAGAGACAGAATCCGAAGCAGGTTCCAGGCTCTGAGCTGTCAGCACAGAGCCCAACGTGGGCTCAAACTCACAAACCATTGAGATCATGACCTGAGCCCAAGTTGGATTCTTAACTGACTGAGCCACCCAGGCATCCCATAAGCATGGACCTTTTGTTTTAATTTTTTGTTTCATGAATTCTATTAATTGGCATAGATAATAAAATGTAACTAACTAAAATCAAGTAGGGAATAACTATTAAATTCTGAATTGTAGACCTGTTATCTTCCACGTGGAAAGTGAGAGACCATGCCTTTGGAAATGAAGCTGCTTTTTAAAGGAGCTACCATCTAATTGTAGTGGGATGACATTATTGATGAGAATCATGGATCGTATTTCAACACCCTAAGTTTTAGTAAAGAAATGAAGGTGCAGAGAGATGGTTGCTCATTGATACGCAGCTGGTTTGTGAAAGACCAAGGCCCGAAACCTGGCATTTAAAAAAAAAATTTGCTATGGAAATTCCATATAAATTTGTGTTTTGATGAAACAATATGTCAAATATTTTAAAAATAGCTTAAAAACTTTTTAAAAACTTCCTAGTCTATTTACATTATTAGGAAAAATTATGGATAGCAAATTATTTCATTTTCATATGCCTTTGAAAAGATCATTTTCATGAAAATACTAGTAAAAAGGCAGTCTTCTAAGGAATATAGCATATAAACATTATATAAAAGTCTTCACAAAAACAAGAATCTAAATCTTGTAAGAGAAGTTTTAGATATTTTCTAGGTTATAGTTCAGTAACTGTGAAAGAGAGAAGAAAGAACTCTATTAAGTGTTATTTAGTGTATTCTAATGCTTTTCATTTAAAAAGCTTGGAATATATCTTAAATTTCTTACATGAAATTTACAAAAAATCTAATTTCAGGAAATATTTGCAAATACTTTCTCTTTACTTATATATGACTTTGGAGTCTGCCCTACTTCTCAAATTAGTGCTCGATCTAGCTTGTTAATATATTCTATTAGACTTGGAATAAAAGACTGCATTTGTAATATTTGTACCTTAACTTTAAAAATCTAGGATTCTAGCTATTCAAGCATAAAGATTTTTCTACCTACTGTTTAAGTATCTTCTTTACATTGTCTCTGGATTAGTTTTAGGGAACATTTTCTTTGTAGTCATTGTAGGGTACTAATTATATGATGACAAATTTGCCATCATCTATTGTTCATGGAATAGAGGCATGTAATATTTTCAGAGCCAACATTTATTTATTTAGTTAGTTAATAGGTTAGTTTTTATTTAAATTCCAGTTAGTTAACATACAGTGTAGTATTAATTTCAGATGTACAATTTAGTGATTCCACGCTTCATACAACACCCAGTGCTCATCACAAGTGCCCTCCTTAATAATTCCCATCATCTGTTTAAGCTAACTTTTTTTTTCTTTAAGCCAACTTTATTTATTTATTTATTTATTTATTTATTTATTTATTTATTTATTATTTTTTTTCTTTAAGCCAACTTTTAAAAAAGACTTCCTTCCTGAGGTAGATGCATTTGATTAGGAATTCCCAGGTAGTTTTAAAACCTGTCCTTGTGCTTCATAAAATCTAAATATCATTCTATAATTTGAAATTTAACTGAAGAAATCATATTTTGTGTGATGTGATTGAAAGAGTGTAAGCAGTGAGGGGTTTTATGTCTTATGTGAATTGTTGTGTTTGTTTCTGGTTGGTTGGTTTCAGGTTTCTAGTTTGTAGTGTCTCCTAAGATTTTTATATGTCTATAATATATATTTTTCTGAAGACATGTAAGACATACCAAAATTATCTTTCCATATCAGGCCATCTTCTCAATGTGGCAGCTTCACCTTAGGCTCAAATCAGTGCCAGATGGATTACTCGTACCTATATGTCTGTTGCTTTTTATGATAAATTTTGAAAAGATGAATGAAGTAGGAAAATAATTAAATACTAAGATTATTTAGTAGTAAGCTAGTAAAATGAATAAAGAAGCTGAATAATTACAAACTATGCTCAATCTTTGTTGAATGAGATAGAAAATATAACTAAAAGTATAAGATATATTATGCAGTGTCTTAAAGTACTCTAGATACTGCAGGCACAGATACATGTTTTATTTTTATTGGCTTTTTGTTACAAAATAAGAAGTGTATGTGTGTATTAAAGATACTCTTAAAAAAATGAAGATACTTGTGTGGCCTTCGAGTCTCTGCTATCATTGATGAAAAGGGGGAGAACAGGTGGGAGGTAGGTTTAGTTGGCTAATAATATTTTATAATCTTTGAAATTCTTAATTAGTGATCCAATTTTCCTTATGAAAAGTTTTCATTTGTTTCAGGTTTATGAAGATATATATATATATATATATATATATATGTATATATATATATAGTGATTATTTTCCTTAATTTTTTAGGAGCAACTTATTAAGATGAGGAAAAGTACTGTTTATATTTTATAGCTATCACCATAGAGGCATAAAAATAATAGTAGACATATGCCCAAGTGTACTAAGTCCTACAAGAACTATTTATACCATAATAATTGAAGAAAATTTTTGAATAATTCTGAAATGTTAGCATTTCAGAGTCATAAGAGTTGGAATTACCTGTGTAAATGCATACATGTATGAATTGAGAACAAAATGCAACAGATATTTTTGACTGTTTTGTTAGGTTATGAGCTTAAGCTTGTTTCTTTAATTCTTGCTTTATTTTCATATCATGCTAGTCCTTTGCTTATTTTGCACATTTGCGTTTTCATTCTTTTACCGCCTTTCCTTTATGTTTTAATCCTACCCCATTTTTTCACATGACAGGAAAAAGCCCGATCATATCAGGTACCAAATGGCTTCCTTCCCCTCATTCCTGCCTTACTCCAGTTTCCTCTTTGGCACGAGAAAGCTCATAATTAACCTGCATTTCAGTTGGATTACTTGCAATGGATATAATGTCTCATGTTTTAAATTGGGAAGGAAACATAAACATTATATTTGAGAAGTGGAATTATCCTTTCAATGCCCATCTTCTCAATTTGTTTTAATCTGGAAAAGAACATTTGATATATTTATAGATACCCAATGAAGATAATAGATTAGTAATATGAACGCCTTCATATCTTTTTTTTTTTTTTTAAGGGAAATAAGCTAGTAAATACTTTCCAAATTTTTAAACAATAACTAGGAATTGGCCTTTTTGGTAATAATCATATTAGTTAGAAAACAATTTTTTAAATGTTTATTTTTGAGAGAGAGACAGACGTAAGTGGGGAAGGGCAGAGAGAGAAGGAGACACAATCTGAAGCAGGCTCTAGGCTCTGAGCTGTCAGCACGGAGCCCAATGCGGACCTCGAACCCAGGAACCATGAGATCATGACCTGAGCTGAAGTTAGATGCTTAACTGACTGAGCCACCCAGGTGCCCCTCATATTAGTTTTATTGAAAGGAACCATTGTCAGTTTTTAGAGATTTAACATTTTGGTCTTTTTCCTTGGGAAAAATTAGATTGCATTTGAAAGACAGTAACCTTACATGCTCAAGCTTTAAATTTTGTTAAATATTCACCTATTTGACACATATATGAATATGTGCATAAATCTGTCATTTTTACAGTTTTAGCGAGAAAGCTTATACAGATTTAGAAGTTTGACTTTTACATTATATTCCTGGTTTCAAATACAGTTTGAGGACTAGTGATCAAACATGGTAAAAGACACTTGATTTATTTATTTATTTTTTCTTTTTTTTTCAATTTTTTTTTCAACGTTTATTTATTTTTGGGACAGAGAGAGACAGAGCATGAACGGGGGAGGGGCAGAGAGAGAGGGAGACACAGAATCGGAAACAGGCTCCAGGCTCCGAGCCATCAGCCCAGAGCCTGACGCGGGGCTCGAACTCACGGACTGCGAGATCGTGACCTGGCTGAAGTCGGACGCTTAACCGACTGTGCCACCCAGGCGCCCCTTGATTTATTTTTTAAATATATTTTTTCCTTTACCCCCTGTTTTGTTATCTGGAAGCTCTCATAGATATTTGAAAATCAATAATATCAAATTGTTCATGAATTTAGTACTTTGGTCTAAGATCTTTATTGAGTTAGTTCAATTTGGAATGGATATAAAGTGGTGTATTATTTTTCTTAATGAACCAAGTAAATTTTCCTTTTTCATTTTTTTTTTGTTTGTTTATTTATTTATTGAGAGAGAGAGAGAGAGAGAGAGAGAGAGAGAGAGAGTGACTATCCCAAGCAGGCTCCATGCTGTCAGCACGGAGCCTGACATGGGGCTCAATCCCACAAAACGTGAGATTACAGCCTGAGTTGAAATTAAGAGTCAGATGCTTAACTGACTGAGCCACCCAGGTGCCCCAAGAAAATTTCATGTATACAAATAGTTTTTTGGCTTTGTGGTCCGCATTTGAATTTTGTAGAATATAGTGTGTCAGCACAGTACTTTCTAAAGTTTGTCTTTTTTAATAGTTTGTCTTTTGAGGTGCCTCCCAATTACAGATAGTATGAGCTTGAAATATTAAGTATTTTATTCTATTCACTGGGTATGAACTGTCTCATTTTTCCTTTTATTAGAGATGTTAGTAATAACTAGGATTAATCTATAGGAGCAATTAAAAATTATATTCCATTTTACTTACTTGATTAAAGTTTTGATCAATGTAAATGAGTGTAGTTGGCTCTTTTGTCTTTTTTTTTTTTTAATGGCAGAGGAGGAGAGACAGTGTCATACGACATACAGATCTTAGTAATTGAATTTTTTTTCTAGTGAGGTACATTATGTTTTTGTTCCTTAGGAAATGTCAAAATTAAGATGAATTTATAGTGTCTTCCCTGAGTGTACAAAAAAATGCTGATGTGAGCAAGTCCCCCAGCAAAAGATAGATAGCAGGGGAACTGAGTTTCAGTAATACACATGATCTGAACAGTTAATGACCAGAGGAAGTGGTCTCTGACCAAAAAAGTTTTTATGTGCTGTTTTGTTATTTTTAGAGGTTATTATCCTAAGATACAGCAGTTGAAAAGAAATTCCTTTTTTAAAGACCTCAGAAGCATGAAAAGTTTCAGTGGCTATATGGGTGTTTTTCCATTGTGCAGTAAAATTAGTTTTTTATCAAATTCTATAATATGATCACTATACTATAAACCGTAAGAATTATTATTAGTATAGGTCACCCTACTTCGAATGATTTCTCACAGAACACTTTAGTCACTGTCACAGACTGTTTCCATTGCATGTCATCCCACATGGCAGGGCTGCACCATGTTATTTATTTACAGGTATTTCCTTTTAACATTTCTAACTAACCTTGTGTCCCAAAGCAAAGAAACCCTGAAGTTCTTCCTTTTCTGGCCTGCCTCTTGATGATTTGCATTTAGAGGCAACTCACTTGTTTTTAACTAGATGCTTATTTAACAGATCTCTATTTTAATGGTAAAGGTGATACCTTTTTTAAGTAGCAAGAAAGAAAACCTAACTATCTGTCTAGCTTAAAAATAGAAAAGCATCTAATCATTTTCTCAGCTTTGGAGAATTAACTTAATTTTTTAAAATAGAAATTCTCAATGTGTCTAAATACAATTTCCAGTGCTTTGCATTAGTATCAATGAAAAGGTAGAATCTCTATCTGCTAATAGATTAATAACTAATGTTTACAATAGAAATCATCTCACATTGAAACTAATTTTAAAACAATGACTCAAATAGTTTTACCTTTCATGCTTGATGATAATTTTTGCTTCCTTTTATGAATGGCTTTGGCTGTGATTTTTTTTTTTTGTAAGTCCTTAGGATCTTTTACTGTTTTAATAAATTAGAATTAGTCAGTATGCCATATATAGCTTAGCTTTTTCTTCTAAAGAAGATTGCAAGTAAATTGTTTGTGTAATAATTTATAAGAATGAGAAGAACAGTATAAATAGGTGAATCATTTTTAGTAATAACTGTGATTATTCTGCTTAGAAATATTTTATATTAAAGTGAGGTCAAGTGAATTGGCGATTATCTCTTGTTGGATATCACTTCTAAATTGATTTAATTTCTTGTTTTGGTTAACAAATCAAATGCTTGCTGAATTAGCTGCAGAAAGGTTGAAAACAAAGCACCATTTATTTCAGTGTTTTACTGTGTACAAATGGATAGTCTTATTTACAACATAAATTTCTTTTTACTTTATAATAGAAGCAGTTCTTTTGGGGGAAAGATTTTAGTTCTTTTTGAGTAACCTCAAACTAAAATTTTACTTTAAAACAATTATTTTTTCGTGATAGCATAAAGGATAACTGCTGTTATTAGGATATAAATTTCTGAGATAAAATGAATCAAAATACAGTAATCTTATTTTCCTAATCTGTGGTTTTAAAATTATTTAAAATTGTTCTTTACTTTCCATAATTATCTCATTGACATCAGTCTATATAAAACAAAACAAAACAATGTACTTCTCAAAACATAATTAACATAAACTGATTTTCTAGTGCTTTCCCAAATATTTTATTTCTAACAACTGACATAAATTATGTTTATGAAAACCTAATCTATTTTTATTTATTTAGACGCTGGTTTTCAATACAGAACAATCAGCTGGTATACCAGAAAAAGTTTAAGGTAGGTGCTTTGTTAATGAAGTGAAAGCCCAGTGAGTCTTCCGTTTTAGTTCTCTGTCTGTTCATCTTGTAAATACTCCTGCATGCAAAATTATCGTTCATTAGTCTTATGTTTAGGTGTGTGTAAGAGGACTCAAAAGTGGAAAGTATCAGTATCTCCTTAACAGCAGAGTGGTTTTGAATGCTGAATTCTTTAAAAAAAAATTTTTTTTTTAACATTTATTTATTTTTGAGACAGAGAGAGACAGAGCATGAACGGGGGAGGGTCAGAGAGAGGGAGACACAGAATCTGAAACAGGCTCCAGGCTCTGAGCTGTCAGCACAGGAATGCTGAATTCTTAACTTACAGTTTTGAGATGGGTGTTTCTGTGTCCCAGGATTATTACTTTTGTTTCTTCACGTTTCTTTGACCAGCAGTATGACAGGAGCAATACTGCCATTCCATAGTACTATTTTGATGCCGAAGGAAAGGATGCCTTTTAATAAATATCACCTTAGGGCCAAAGGTGATAATATGGAAATGTTAAAAAATGACATTAAAATGTTAGCTTGAAGTAATTGAAATAGAAACCTCTAAATTTGTTAATGTTGTTTTTATACATTTCTTTTCTTGAACCTTATTTTAAGGGTAAGGAATTTTTGTTTATCAGAAAGACATACTAAGATTACATGAGACTTGAGAATGTTAAAACTAATTAAGAAAAAAACTCCATTAGTTAATTGATGACCTGAATTTTACCTGTGAGTGTTTGTGAATGAAGTATACAACTGTACATTTTAAATACTCACTTTACTCTAGAGATACACGATCTGACATTTTGTTTGCTCGGTTTTGTGCTTGCAGGCTTATTCCACACAAGCCCTTTGTTCTAACTCATTAGTTCATGGTTTCTTCTGGTCTGATAAACTTGATTTTGAGTTTATATTTTTGTTAAGTACTAGAAAAATGATAGATTCTTTCTCATTTTCTTAGGTATTTAAAGAAGAATGTATATAGGCGTTTTTTTTTTTTTTTTTTTTTTTTTAGTTACTTAAGACTTGCCTATTAAAGTCTTCTTTTTTGAGGAAAGTAGCTTTTATTATATGTGAGGGGGGACCAGGAAAGTAATGGATATGAAAGAAAAAGGAAGAAAATTAAAATTTATAGGATGCTAACATTTATTGAGCACCTATTAATTAAATACCAAGTTTTAGATTAAGCTCTTTATATATATTTTCACTTAATCCTTGTACAGCCATTTTATGAAACACATAAAATTATGAACAGGACAGAGTTACCTTTATTAGTTGTATCTCTGTTGATAACTCCTATTTTTAATCTTAAATAAGATGAAATATAAATCTTTAAAATTCGACGACCCATTTATTCCAAGTAATATTTTTAAGTATGTTATTATCGGTAGTTGTGTTTAAAAACTAAGTTGATAAACCTGGGAGTTTTATTTGCTTATTGTAGGATAACCCCACCGTGGTAGTGGAAGATCTAAGGCTGTGCACAGTGAAACACTGTGAAGACATAGAACGACGTTTCTGCTTTGAGGTAGTCTCTCCAACAAAGTAAGTGGTTCTAAAGAATGAGAGTTCCTTTTGTGTTTGTATAGTTTGTCTTAAAGAACTTTACTGAGTAGAGAAAGATTTGGGTTTTACTTGTGATGTTATGTGTGCTAAAGAGGAACAAAGTGCTTTAAAGGTAAATTTTCATAATTAGTGATTACAAGTATTACAGTCAGATGTTTATGTAACCTCTACCCAGTATCATTTACTTTAAATTCCATAAAGATTATTGATGTAGCCATATGAAAATTTTTTAGCTGTCTTGATGATGAACTGAAGTCATATGTCAGATCAGTTTCTTTGATAATTATTTCATATTTCCAGCCTTGGTGTTATATTTGGTAAATTTAAAGTTTTTTTTTAAATGTACAGGAATTTGTCATTTTTTTTAAATAGGCGGTTTATTTTATATTTTATTGGTACCTTGATTTCTTCATGAATATACTCTGTCCTAAAGATAAATGAAATAAAATATTTCAGTGGAATTAACTTTTTGTTAGAAGATTATTAAATAGTGAAATAAATCTTATTATTATTTTGGGGGGTTAATTTAGTGTCTGAGAAAACAATGTTATTTCCTTTTAGAAGTTGTATGCTTCAGGCAGATTCTGAAAAACTGCGCCAGGCATGGATTAAGGCTGTTCAGACCAGTATTGCTACTGCTTATAGAGAGAAGGGTGATGAATCAGAGGTTAGTAAACAATACTGCAAAACAAAATGATACATTGCCATAAACTTTTAATTTTCATTGCAACATTATATGATTATAACATTCTTTCTTATGGAGGTTGAATTTTATAAGTGAATGGGGTTTTACTATTAGAATCTAATTTCAATTTCTCTTTGTTTCTCTTCACTTTATCAGTTTATTTCAACATATGTTTAATTCAGTATTTGAATATGTGTTCTAGATTGACGTAAGGTATTCTAAGATAAATATTTTTCCCCAAAATATTTTATTATTCTAATTAATAAAAATTAGTAAAAAATAAAAGAATAGTAATTAGTAAAAGTCAAAAAAGGAAAGCTCAGACTGTCTCTGGGTTGAAGTCTCCCTGGAGAAGATAAGCTGAATGTAGAGTCTTGGGTCCACATAGTCTGGTTTCAGCTTCCCAGTGATTTTACAGATTCTTATGAGCAAGAACACGAGTAAGTCTTGAGAAATGGAATTCGCCAATTCCTCTAGTAACTTCTTGAAAATGAGGTATTTGTGAATCCATCCATGTCTGAAAATGTCTTTATTTTATCCTCACATTTGTTTGATAGTTTCGTTGAGTGTGAAATTTTTATGTTGAAAATAATAATTCAGCCTGGGTGGCTGAGTCAGTCAAGCGTCCGACTTCAGCTTAGGTCATGATCTCATGGTTCGTGAGTTTGAGCTCCGCATCAGGCTCTGTGCTGATGGCTCGGAGCCTGGAGCCTGCTTCAGATTCTGTGTCTCCCTCTCTCTGTGCCCCTCCCCCACTCACACTCTGGCTTTCTCTCTCTAAAAAATAAATCAACATTTAAAAAAAAAATTAAATTTTTTCTTAATAATTTTAACAGCATTGTTTTTCTAGTTTCCAACATTGCTGTTGAAGTCTTTCGTATTACTGACCTCTCCAATTTTCCTGTTTTCTTTTTCTGGAATTTCTGGACTGATCTTATGATTTTCTTATTTTTGTGTGTGTTTTTGCTCTACATTCTGGAAGATTTTCTCAGTTAATCTCCAAAACCTTCTATTGAATATTTTAGTTCAGTCAGCACATATTAACTTTCCAGGAGTTTCTTTTTGTTTGCTGAATGTTTATACATGTAAAGCTGTCTTGTCTTCATTGATGCAGGGTTAGAGCTGTGGTTCTTAAACTTGGATGCACAGGATGATAACACACGGATTTTTAAAAAATCCCAATACATAGGTCCCACCCCAGAACAATTAAATGGAGTTGGGATCCAGGCATCAATATTTTGAAAAGCTTCCTAAATGATTTCCATGTACAGGCAATGTTGAGAACCATTGTGTCAGAGGTTTTTCTTGGCTATTTGGTAATCCGTTCTGGTTACAAGTGAAGGACTAAAAACCCCTTTGGATGCTCTAAGAATGTAGTTAGGAGTGTGTTGACTATAAGCCTCTCTGAAGTCTGGACCATTTGTTGAAGAACAACCAGCGTTAGGATCTTTGGAATCTTTTCAGTTGGTATGATTTCCCACAAAAGACTCACCAGTCTGCTTCCTAGGAGTCAGGGGTTCCTGGGAGCTAGTTGCTAGGGATCTCAGTATTCAGTGTGTATATGTTCATTTAATCCTCTGCCTTTCACCTTTCAGGTAAATCCCATCTAGAGACTCTTTGCTTTACTTCCTCAGAGAATAAAATAAACTCCTAGTCATTTGTGTTTATGTTAGCTTGAATTAATTTAAATAGAAACCTCTAAATTTGTTTCCCATAATGGCATAGAGTTGGGGAAAACACCTTGGGATCTGACTATTCCTTAAACAGTCATTTCTCCCTCTTTGATTCCCGTTTGCCTGGTTAACTGGTATAAATCCTTGAGCCCTTTGAGTATCGTGTAATGTAAATTGATGAACTCAGATTTTTTCTTTCAACCATCGTAAGATTTAGCCTTGGTCTGCTCAGTTACTGTTCATCCAGCTGTCTTCCAGCTTTCAGAATTTTGTTGCTATTATTTGCTTTTCTATTCTCCCTGTTCTTGTGGGCAAATGTCTTTCCCCCGCCCCCCCCTTTTTTTTTTAACTAAAAAGACAATAGCTTTCTAAAGTAGACTACAGTCCTTATTTCATTTCATACCTAGTAGTAATTTCTTAATATCTTCTATTACCCAGTCTATATTCAGATGTCCCCAGTTGTCCTAAAAATGCCTTTTGCAACCTATTTACAAAGTATGATCTTATCTATGACTGGGCATTGCATCTGGTTGTTATGTCCCTAAAGTCTTTCAGTCTAGAACAAGGCCTTTTTTTTCATGACAGTAACTTGCTGAAGAGAGGAGGTTAGTTCCTATAGAATTCCCACTGATACAGTTACATAATAGGTGATGTGTATACTTCACGTTGTAAAAGGAAAGACACAATACTTGGTTATCCAACCATTACTAATGCTAAGATCAGTCTTCTGTGTGAAAATGAAGTGAACACATTGGATTAGAGAGATGACAATATGACTCCTCCAGTGTAAAGTTACATTCCCTTTTCCCTAGTCTTTGTTACTTTGTGTAGTAAATCTATTTTGTGTTACGTTGGCCTCATAAGATCTAGTCCCCCATCAACCACTCATGTAATGGTTTTACAGATGAATTTGTGATTTCATTAGGAATTGCAAAATTATAATTTTCTAATTCTGTGATCCCATCTATATTGGTTAACTTGAATTCTTATGTTACATACAGCTTTTATTTATCAGCTGGAGTTATTTAGTTACTGTAATAAAATGCTTGATTTTTTTCTTTTAATTACCACATTTGGTTAGTTTATTAGCTATCTTAGGTGGGGACAGATAACTAATTTCTTGGGTATCATGAACTCATGGAAATTTGTAGGTACAATCGGTCCCAATTACAGTAATTACTCTTTTTTTACAAAGTTATTTGCGTATAGTTGACACACAATGTTATATTAGCTTCAGGTATAGAACACAGTAATCGGTACCTCTATCCATTATCCATTAACCATCTTCACTGTACAGTGTTATTCCCACACCATTGACTGTATTACCTGTGCTGTACCCTGCATCCCTGTGACTTACTCTTTCCATAGCTGGAAGCCTTTATCTCCCACTCCCCTTACTATTTTGCCCATTCCTCACCCACCATCCTTCTGGCAACCATCAGTTTGTTGTCTGTTTATAGGTCTGTTTCTTTACTTGTTTATCCATTTGTTTTGTTTTTTAGATTCTACATATATATGAAATCATATGTATTTTTCTCTGTCTGACCTATTTCACCTAGCATAATACCCTCTAGGTCCATCCATGTAGTTACAAATGGCAGGATCCCATCCCTTTTTGTGGCTGCATAATATTCCTGTGTGTGTGTGTGTGTGTGTGTGTGTGTGTGTGTGTGTGTGTATGTGTGTGTACACACGTATACATATTTTTATCCATTCATCTATCAGTAGATAGATGGGTTGCTTCCATATCTTGGCTGTTGTAAATAATGCTGTGGTAAATGTAGAGCTGCATATATCTCTTAGAATTAGTGCTTTCATTTTCTTTGGGGTAAATACCCAGTAGTGGGATTATTAGATCATATAGTATTCTATTCTTAATTTTTTGAGGAACTTCCATACTGTTTTCTACAGTGGCTGTACCGTTTACATTCCTACCAACCATGCACAAGGATTCTTTTTTCTCCGTATCCTTACCAACACTTACTATTTCTTGTCTCTTTGATTTTAGCTACTCTGACAGGTGTAAGGTGATAACCTCATTGTGGTTTTGATTTGCATTTCCCTGATGAGGCATCCATATTGGTAAGGAAGAAGTTAAACTGTCACTATTTGCAGATGACATGGTATTATACTTAGAAAACCCTAAAGATTTCACCAAAAAATTATTAGAAGTAATGAATTCAGTAAAGTTTTAGATACAAAGTTAATGTGCAGAAATTTGTTGTGTTTCAATATACTAATAATGAAATGGCAGAAAGAGAAATTAAGGAAACAATTTCATTTACAAATGTATGAAAAAGAATAAAATATCCAGGAATAAACTTTAAAAAAAAATGTTAATTCATTTATTTTGAGAGAGAGAGAGGGAGAGATGGAGAGAGGGATAATCCCAAGCAGGCTCCACGCTGTCAGAGCATAGCTTGAAGCAGGGCTCAAACTTATGAACCATGAGATTGTGACCAGAGCCAAAACTGAGAGTTGGACACTCAGCTGACCCACCCAGGCACCACACTCAGGAATAAATTTAACCAAGAAGGTGAAAGACCTGTATTCTGAAAACTATAAAACACTGATGAAAGAACTAGAAGAGAAGACAAATGGAACATTTTGACAATATTAATTCTTCCAATTCCATGCTCATGGATTGGAAGAATTAATATTGTCAAAATGTTCATACTACCCAAGGCAAGCTACAGATTCAGTACAGTCCCAACAGTCAAAATACCAACAGCAGTTTTCATGGAACTATAACAAATAATACTAAAATTTGTGTTGAATCGTAAGAGATCCTGAATAACCAAAGCAGTCTTGTGAAAGAACAACAAAAGTAGAGGTTATCAATTCCAGATTTCAAGATATACTACAAAGCTGTAGTAATCAAAACAGTATGGTACTGGCAGAAAAATAGACAATGCATCAGTGGAACAGAATAAAGAGCCCAGAGATAAACTTATGCTTCTATGGTCAATTAATCTATGACAAAGGAGACAAGAAAATATACAATGGGGAAAATACAGTCTCCAATAAATTGTGCTGGTAAAACTGGACAGCTACATGCAAAAAAGAATGAAACTGGACCATTTTCTTACACCATACACAAAAATAAACTCAAAATGGGTTAAAGACCTAAATGTGAGACCTGAAATAATAAAACTCCTAAAAGAGAACATAAACAGAAATTTCTTTGACATTGGCCATGGCAACATTTTTCTAGATAGGACATATATCCTAAGGCAAGGAAAAGAAAAGCAGAAGCTAACTGAAACTACATCAAAATTGAAGGAAACCATCACAATTGAACGAAACCATCAGCAAAATAAAAAGGCAACCTACTGAATGGGAAAAGATATTTGTAAATGATATATCCAATCAGGGATTAATGTCTAAAAAATATAAAGAATTTATACAATTTGACACCAACCCCCCCCAAAAAAAACAAAAACAAAAACAAAACCCCACAAATAATACGATTAAAAATGGGCCGAGGGCTTGAATAGGCTTTTTTTCCAAAGAAGGCATACAGATGGCCAATATCAGTATTTACTCTTCTTAATGTTCGGATTACCACAACTTTGTCCAATAAGGGCTGAGGATAATGCCTTTTATTATCCTTTCTGGCTTTTAGCGAAGTTTTGAGAGGGGACAAAATTACATGTATATCCATATCATCCTGATGAAGAAGCTAGTGGCATTGCTGAAATACCTGTGTAATGAAAAATCATACACTATAAATTCTAAGGATTACAGGAAAAATAGGGCTAGGGCTGCCCTAAAAATCTGTAAATTCATAACTAGAATACTTTCAGGAACTTTAGAATCTCAGTAAAAAATATTAGAACAATTAAATTCATAATAAATTAATACTACAGTATAGATAGGAGTTAACTTTAAAAATTAATGAAGATAGGGGCACCTGGGTGGGTCAGTTGGTTAGACGTCCGAGTTTTGATTTTGGCTCAGGTCATGATGTCACGGTATGTTGGACTGAGCTCCACATCAGGCTCTGTGCTGACAGTGCGGAGCCTGCTTGGGATTCTCTCTCTCCCTCTCTCTCTCTGCCCTTCCCTTGCTCATGCATGTGCTCTCTCTCTCTCTCTCAAAATAAATAAACTTAAAAAAATTGATGAAGATAACTTAATGGAAGGGTACAGAAGGTTGAGACTACTGAGTTTTGGTGACAAAGGCAAAACACATAAAGATCAGAGAGAATGAGTATAATACACACTTTTGAGTCCAAGCACATGGACAAAATGATCCAAGAAGGAGAATAGGGGGATGGGTGTCATGTTTATTCTTGTGTTCCTGGAGGTAGCTGCCCCAGGTTCTGCTGTGCAGTGTACTTTGCTCTCAGCTTCTCTAATTTGGTGCAAAAAATTAACTTATAGAGGAAGATTGGGAATGAGCCAAAAAGGTTTCTGTATTGTATTGACATCTTTTTCCTATGTGATAATTGCTTATGAGATAATTCACATTCTTGAACATGTTCTAATAATACAGATTTTAAAAAATTTTTGAAATAATTTCAAACTTACAGAGAAGTTCCAAATGTTGTACAATAACTTTACCCCCAAACTATTTCAGAGTGAGTTTCTAACTTGGTGCCCCATCACCCATTATTACTTTAGTGCTATTTCCCACACCCTAGGACATTGTCCTATAAAAACCATGGTACTGCCATCATAATCAGGAAATGAACATTCAAATATGGCTACCATTTAATTCCAGACGTCTTTAACAATTGTCCCAGTAATGTTTTTTTACAGCAGAAAGATTCAGTCCAGAAGCACAGGTAATATTAGTTGTCAGAGCTCTTTAGTTTCCTTCCTTCAGGAATAGTCCCTCAATCTTACTTTGACCTTCTTGACCTTGGTAGTTTTCAAGGTAACAAGCTAGTTATTTTGTAGAATGTCCTTTAATGTGAGTTTATCCGATGCTTGCTCGCAAGATTATGCATCTTTGGAGGTGTATTATATAAATGATGCTGTGTTTTTCTCACTGCATTCTCAGGTGACACATAACTTTGTCCCATTATTGGTGATGTTAACTTTGATCACTTGATTAAGGTGGTGTCTGCTAGGCTTCTGTACTGTAACATTCGCTTGGTAGGTAAGAAGTATTTGTAAGGGGAGGTTCTTTGAGACTATGTGAATATTTTTTCCTCATTAAACTTTAATTATTTATTTATTTAATTATTTATTATTTATTTTTTTAAGCTTTTTTTTAAGCTTTAATTTTTTTTAATTTAATTATGTCAGTATAGTTTTTTCAATGTATTATAATCCATTACTATCATTATTTGTTTTATTGTTTGAATTGGCCCAAACTGGGCCAGTGGAACGCTGGCTTCTATATCCTTTTGGTATGTTCTTATCATGTCTTAGTTCAGTCTGAGTTCCTCCTTACTTTCTAGCATGATGAGACGTTCCAGGTTCATCTTGCACTTTCTCTGCACCAGTGCTAATTCTCCAAAGAGTCCTAGTTCCTTTTGGTGGTGAATGGCTTTTAGAAACCAAGATAAAGGAATATATGTATGTATGTACACATATACACGTTTACATCTGTATTTCTTTATATATCTGTTTATACTGAAAACCATTAGTATGCCTCTTGTTTTCTCCAGTTCTAATCACACACAACAGGCTTTGTTCTAATTCTCTCCCTTTCCATATAAATAACCCTTATTCTGCAGTGAGAAAAATATGGCTCACTTTTATTTTTAACATGTTTACTTATATGATCAGTCCCCCTGTATGTAACCAACATCCTTTCTTTGCTGCCACCTGCCCCTACTCAGGCTCTGGACCCTCACACCAGTGCCTTCTTCTCCCTCCTCAGGCTCTCACTTCCCTTGCTGGGAATATAATTATAATTATGTAATTGATTTGGGAGCACCTGGGTGGCTCAGTCAGTTAAGCGTCTGACTTCGGCTCAAGTCATGATCTTGTGGTTCATGAGTGTGAACCCAGCATTGGGCTGTCTGCTATCCGCACAGAGCCTGCTTCAGATCATCTGTCTCCCTCTTTCTGCCCCTCCCCCACTCACTCTCTCCCAAAAATAAACATTAAAAAAATAATTATTTAATTGATTTGTTCTTTAGTAAAACGACATATGATTTCCAGTTATTCACTGCAGTAATTGAAACAACTTGCTTGCAGTTCATTGAATACCTTGGAAAATTCTGGTATAAAATAATATTAATTTTATTCTTGAGTATTAATAGTTTTGTGTTTATTCCATCCGTCTCTGGTTCTGCATGTTAAATAAGTGTTTCCCTTTCTCTTTGCCCTCATATCTTATACACATGTTCCTTTGTCACTTATTTTATATATAATACATATATATGAATATTAAATAGAAAATAAATGTAAATATTTATTTATATAAATATATATATTATTTCCAATGCTTGTGTTTCTTCTGACAAGACTAAATGCCAATTGATGGAGCTAGCTGTATCTTTTTATCATTAAATCTGTAATGCCTAGAATAGTGCCTGGCTTAGGCTCATAATAAGCCCTCAATTTATTGATTGGAAGGTTTTGTTTGGAGCATGTAATGTGCAGCATAGTATTAATCTTTTTTTTTTTAAACAAATAATTCTTAATTCTTTTAGAAGCTGGATAAGAAATCATCTCCATCCACAGGAAGCCTGGATTCTGGAAATGAGTCAAAAGATAAATCGTTGAAAGGAGAAAGTGCACTGCAGCGAGTCCAGTGTATCCCTGGCAATGCCAGCTGTTGTGACTGTGGTCTGGCGGACCCACGGTGGGCCAGCATCAACCTGGGCATCACCCTGTGTATCGAGTGTTCTGGGATTCACCGGTGGGTAGGCCTACACAGGGTGAGAGACTTCTTTTGGATAAACACATAGTAAATTATTGTGTCCCATTGGTTAGGGGGCCTTTTCCACTTGCCTTAATTTGACTGCCATTTGTATATTTGTACCTTTTGTAGAGTGGATAAAATTCTGGTTTGCGGAGTGCTTTAGAGGATTTTGTTTTACCATTTACCATTTAAGGACTCTCCTTATTTACATACATGTTGAGGGCTGTATTAGCGACTATATTCCATTAAAAGAGACAAGTAATTTGCATATTATGCAAATAGAGACTTGATGGTTTTGTATATTAATATAGTCTTTTTTTCCCCCTACTTAGGAGTCTTGGAGTTCATTTTTCAAAAGTACGATCTTTAACTTTAGATACCTGGGAGCCTGAACTTTTGAAGGTAAAATAAAATACTTGCTTAAAAATATTTCAGATTTTCACATAAAATGACAGGATTTTAGAATCTTGATTTACGAAATGTATGAGTTTCTAGGGGTGGCTTAGGTGGCTTAGTTGGTTAAGCATCCCTCTCTTGATCTCAGCTCAGGTCATGAGTTCAATTCTGTGTTGGGCTCCACTGGATATGGAGCCTACTCAAAAAAGAAAGAAATAGGGGTGCCTGGGTGCTTCAGTCAGTTAAGCGTCTGACCCTTGATTTTGGCTTGGGTCACCATCTCATAGTTTGTGAGTTCTTGAGCCCCACTTTGGGCTCTGTGCTAACTGAGCAGAACCTGTTTGAGATTTTCTCTCCCTGTCTCTGCCCCTTCCTGGCTGGCAGGCGTGTGTGTGCACACTCTCAAAATAAGTAAATATTTGTTTTAAAAACAAATAAATAAATAAAATGTATGAGTTTCTCCATGCTAACAATAAATTGTATTGGAACGCATCTGAGGCTATTTTAGCAAATCTGGTGTTTTCTTTTGGGTTTTTTTTAAGAATCGCTAAGTTTATGTAACGCTCTTAACTGCAAATCACTTCATCTTTTAAGGAAAACACATTCCTACGTTTTTATGTTTTCTCAAAGAATGATCTTCAATTATGTGCCTTAATTTTAATCCTTTATAATTATATCAATTTTTGTTAAAAGTATAAGATGTACTAGTGCACTCCCTAATGGATTGGTGTAGCATGTTGTTATCATTGAGCCATTTTAGCATAGGACCTTTTACAAATTTACATTTCTCAAGATAAGTGGTCCAACTAAGACATCCTTTATCCTTGTGTAAGGACTCATATCTATGGAAATGCCGTAAGTAATTTAAATCACAACTGGGTTTCTGGTAAGATTTATAAAACTCATATATTGGTTAATGATATATTCCTTTTAATTCCCATCATTTGGTTTACCATATTGTAGAAAAATATATATTCATTTAGAGATTATGGTATATTCTGCATTTACTTCTGTCTGAAAATTGTGTTCTTTTTTTTAATGTTTGTTTTATTTTTGAGAGAGACAGAGAGACACAGTGGGAGCGGGGGAGGGGCAGAGAGAGAGGGAGACACAGAATCTGAAGCAGGCTCCAGGCTCTGAGCTGTCAGCACAGAGCCCGATTCGGGCCTGGAACTCACAAACCACGAAATCATGACCTTAGCTGAAGTTGGACACTTAACCGACTGAGCCTCCCAGGCGCCCCAAAAATTGTGTTCTCAATGTACTTGTATTTTTATTTTAATCCATAGATAAACTGGTGATCCTCTCAATTATGTAAAGTACAAAAAAAATCTGCTTTGTGGAATTATTGTGTAAACATCTGGATGAAAGTGATAAATTAGTTGCTAAGGTAGAGCCCTAATTAGATAGATTGTATTAATTGTTATGAATTCAAAGGAGAAGAAAGTGGGGGAATGAGAGGTAGAAATCTAATTTCTGCATCAGTTTTGTAGATGTGAACTTATTAATAAGTTCAATTTTTAAAATTTGGCTGAAACATAGCTAGCTGTCTGGTACATTAAAAAAATAATTGAGGGGCACCTGAGTGGCTTAGGCAGTTGGGTGTCCGACTTTGGCTCAGGTCATGATCTCATAGTGCGTGAGTTTGAGCCCCGCGTCGGGCTCTGTGCTGACAGCTCAGACAGGAGCCTGCTTCGGATTCTGTGTCTCCCTCTCTCTCTGCTCCTCCCCCACTCGTGCTCTGCCTCTCTGTGTCTCAAAAATAAATTAAAAAAAAACATTAAAAATTTTTTTAAAAAATTGAAAATTTTAAACAAAATATTTTGCAATTCTTTTTTTTTTTTTTAACTCCATTTATTTATTTTGAGGTGGGGGGATGGGAGGAGAGAGAGAATCCCAAGCAGGCTCTGCGCTATCAGCACAGAGCCAGATGAGGTGGGGCTTGATCTCACGAATCCTGAGATCATGACCTGAGCCGAGATCAAGTGGCAGATGCTTAACCGACTGAGCCACCTTGGTGCCCCATTTTGCAATTCTTATATATAAAATATAAAGAGAAAATAGTGTACTTCCATTTTGAGGTGTTTAAAACTTAACCTGTTTGGCCTCAATCTTCTTTTTTCATTTAATTTACCAAGCATTGTGAATAATCTGCAGCATTGTGCTAGCCGTAGTTGAGGGACGATGAGTGAGGAGAGACCTTTTCCTGTATTAGTGGCAGTCTTCTAGGGGGAGGTATTCTGGTAATAGCAAAATGATGATATTGCTCTTACTTCCTTGTCTCATTTTGTTTTAACTTCAAACTTTGTGGGATCAGCATTTGCAGAACAGCAAAAGGAATGAGTTAGCTGTATTTGCTTTAAGGACTGTTACAGTATTTTTAGGAATTTGTACCTTATTTTCCTATTTTCCTGCCAAACAGCTTATGTGTGAATTGGGAAATGATGTTATAAACCGAGTTTATGAAGCTAAAGTGGAAAAATTGGGAATAAAGAAACCACAACCAGGACAAAGGTACTAATTTCAATTGTCTCCATGTGTTACCCTTTTATTTTTCGTAAGCAGGAGTATAGCTATGATTTTATTTCACTATAACTGATACGTAATATTGAGACAGACTGTTTAGAAGAGAGCATTACTGCTTCTGTTAAAATACGGCAATCTTGGGGCACCTGGGTGGCTCAGCTGGGTAAGTGTCCGACTCTTGGTTTCGGCTCAGGTCCTGATCTCATGCTTTGTGAGTTTAAGCCCCATGTTGGGCTCTGCACTGACAGCATGGAGCCTGCTTGGGATTCTCTCTTTCTGCCCCTCCCCTGCTGTCTGTTTGTCTGCCTGTTTCTCTCAACATAAAGTAAAGAATTAAAAAAAATTTTTTTTAAAAAGATGGCTATCTCTTTCTTGGGTATGTGTTAGATAATTATTTGTTATTGATTAGATAATAAACTATAGTCTCCAGATGACAATCTCAAAAATTAAGTCTCTACATAGACTATAAAAGCTCTTAGCAGTTAAAGTAGACCAATTCTGTTATTGGCAGGGGTTTAAAAAGAGATAATCTGTTCATTAATGTCTCTAAGGATCAAGTTTCTATTACCAACAGTGAATAATTTTACATTGTTTAACTTAGTACAGTAAATATCTGTGAAACACATACTTAATAAATGGCATTATGATGTTAAAGAATTAAAGGTGAAAGGGTAGCTTCTGGTAGGGGAGAGTACTTAGTTGCTATGTTTGAATTATACTTCTAATTCTATATGTGGAGGCTCTTTGAATGAAGTGGCTAAGAGTGCCTTCAAGGTACATAGTTAATTTTTATTGTTGATGTTGCTTTTAGTTTTCATGGTTCTTTATTTTTAGCACTAAAATTTTATTTGCCATAATCCTATGTTGGGATTTTATGTTTGACTAAATCTGTATGTATAATCAATACTATTTTAAAGTTATTGTTGTCTGCACTAATATCATTTAAATGAGATTATTTGGTAAAGCATGGCTGAGTTATTTCAGACCTTGAAATATCCTTCTATTTCAGCCAAAGACTTAACCATTTCAAAAGGATATAAGTAAGAAAAGGTATAAAACAGACTTGGTATTTTATGATTGTATCATAAAGTTTAAAATGTGACATATTTGCTTCCTCCTTAGTTAGGAATGCTGTTGTTTTAAAGTAGTTGTCTTAGGAAAAATTATGGCCATCAATAGTGATAGTTCAGTATGTGACATTATCTATTGCAGTAAAATGAAATTAATTTCCATAAATTTTTATAGTTTTCTTGGTAATGGTTTTCATTTTGTAAAAAGCACAAGGGAACATGTATAGAAATGAAAGAGCACAGAAATTAAGAGAATAGAGAGTGCCATGTTTATACTTGTGATTTTTCGTTTAGTCTATTGTTTGTATTTCATTTGAACATGAGATCGTAAGTTATTAAATATTTGGAAGGGAAATATGTTGCATAATGTCACAAATTTAGTTTTAACTTGTAATACATTTAGTGACTTTTTTTGAGATATTCAATATATAATGGCTTCTTTTCAGCCATACTAAGAGATTAAGCAGAACATCATGACATTTTTATGTATACCAGACAGGAGAAAGAGACATATATCAAAGCAAAATATGTGGAGAGGAAATTTGTGGATAAATATTCTATATCATCATCACCTCCTGAGCAGGAAAAAAGGATTGTCTCCAAAAGTTGCGAAGAAAAGAGGCTGAGCATTTCTAAACTTGGGCCAGGTGACCAAGTCAGAGTACCTCCCCCAAGTTCAGGTATTACAGCTTACTTGTTAAACTGAAGTCGCTTTCTTCATCTCTGAATTAGTAGCCACTGTAGATTATTTAAATGCTAAAAGACCTGTTTCCTTCTGCATATTGTAAGGAAAAATTGGATTTCTATGTCTTTAAAATGGTTAAATTTAAATAGCATCTTCGTAACTCACATTTCTAGGTAATGTGTATATTCTAGGGAATAAAACTGTTTAGAGTGCAAGGGGAGATGGGAATTATAAATCTATCATGGCAACAAGCCCTAAATATCTGATTAACTACCTAATATCCTTCCTATTTTTTTCCTCCTAAATTTTTCCCAGTAACGTTTTTTTCCTGCCCTTTTCCCTTCTTATGGCCTGCTTTGTGCTTTGCTAACTTGCATGTCCTCAGTGGTTGCTGTAAATAGCGACGAGGCCAGGCGGGAGTCTCTGTTCTGTCCTGATGAGCTAGATTCACTCTTCTCCTACTTTGATACTTCTTCAAAACTACGTAGTAGTAAGTACTACTCTTGTGGAGCATTCCAAGTCTGTGCCAGTGGTCATTGTGCGGTGTGGCCATTTCTCTAGATGTTACCCATTGTCTCAGAATTACACATTACTTACAGTCATAATGAATTAAGCTCTTCACCACCCCTGACATATGGGGTAATGAGATGTGTTGCGACTCTGAAGATAAGTTTATTTTCAGGCTTTGTGATTGATTCATATTTTGATAAGCTAAGTGTTCAAAAGGATTAAAATTGTGTTAAATGTATTCTGATGGTGGCTGAGTTCATGTTGATGTATTATCAGAACTCATTTTAAAACCTTGTTGTTTGGAGTAGATTGTTTTCTAATGGTGTGAACTTTAATCACTAGCTGATTTTTCTTTAAAACAGTTAAAAGTAATGATAGTGGAATCCAGCAGATTTCTGATGATGGAAGAGAATCTTTACCCTCGACAGTGTCTGCCAATAGTTTATATGAGACTGGTGAGTTTTGGTGAAATTCAGTGTTAATTAGTATTGTTTGCTGAAAAATGCATGTGGTTAGTGCTTAATCTTGATTAAATAGTTTTTAAAGGAAGTGGTTAGCCTTTTAGAAGGTATTGTTAAATGAGAAAGTGGATTTGGAAGTTCTCTCCTAGCTGTACATTCTTCTAAGCCTCATGATACGGGCTAAAAGTGCCTACTCAGTTGCTAAGTATACTTTTTAGTCCACATGAACTGTATGTTTTATTTATTTTATATTTATATTTATTTATCTAATGTAGCTATCTTATCAGGAGAAAGAGATTAACAACTCTCTCCCCATTATATTTTTCTTTGGATCTGTGCTTTCTTCCTATATTTTCTCCTTCATGATTCCCATGATTTTGGTCTTACAGAATATTCAGGGTAGTGAGCATTTTCTGAATTACTTGAATTGCTTGTACTATAACTTATGATGATATTGGACCATCCTAGGCATAAAGTGAGGTTTGGTCTAGTAGTAAAATTCTTCATGGATTTTTACCATCCTTTTTAAATCCAGGCATATAGGAATATACCTAATTTTAATCTAGTACAGTGTAATTAACCTCCCATTGCATATTGGCAGGACCACAAAGGCCTAGTATACCAATGGATGTCTTTATAAGAGAAGTTTGACTGTTTGGGGAGTCGTCAGGGAATAATATATTTTTGTGAAAACCTCCCGTTAGCTCTTTTGTTAAATTAGTGGTTACTTTTACATCTTTTACATTGTGCTACATTGTAGTAAGGGCTCATTTAAAAAAATGTGGTAAATAGAGAAAGACAAATATCATATGACTCCACTCATATGAGGACTTTAAGAGACAAAACAGATGAACATAAGGGAAGGGAAATAAAAATAATGTAAAAACAGGGAGGGGGACAAAACATAAGAGACTCTTAAATATGGAGAACAACCAGAGGGTTACTGGAGGGGTTGTGGGAGGAGGGATGAGCTAAATGGGTAAGGGGGATTAAGAAATCTAGTCCTGAAATCATTGTTGCACTATATGCTAACTAATTTGGATGTAAACTAAAAAAAATAAAATTAAAAATAAAAAATTTAAAAACATTTTGCTATGTATGTGGTAAGACATACGTAACATGAAATTTACATCTTCACCATTTTTAAACGGACAGCTGCATGGCATTGAATTTCTTAACCCTTGTGCTGCCGTTACCACAATGCAGCCACAGAACTGTCTTCATCTCACAAAACTGAAACCCTGTACCTCTGAAACAATAACTTCCCATTCTCTCCCTTCCTCCCCATTTTTACTGATGTATTTGTTTGCTTTACAGAAGGAGAAAGGCAAGATTCTTCTGTGTTTCTCGACTCTAAACATCTTAATCCGGGACTCCAGCTTTATAGGGCTTCATATGAAAAAAATCTTCCTAAAATGGCTGAGGCTTTGGCTCATGGTGCAGATGTGAACTGGGCTAATTCAGAGGAAAATAAAGCAACACCACTTATTCAGGCTGTTTTAGGGGTATGAATTCATACATTGTAAAAAAATCATAATTCATTCTGAACATAGCTTTAGCATTATTTTTTGCTTTAAGAGATGGGTTGGAAAGTAGAAGAAAATGCTAGTAGTGATTTCTGAGTATCACTGTGATTACGTAAGGTCAGGTTTTTTTCTCAGTGGAAGAGAATTTTAGTAATGAAAGTAGTGTCTTTTGCTAGATCACACTGCAAATTGAATCCCTGTTAGAAGTCATTCTTGGCGGGGCGCCTGGGTAGTTAACCGACCAACTTGCCCTCAGGTCATGATCTCACAGTTTGTGAGTTCGAGCCCCGTGTCAGGCTCTGTGCTGACAGCTCAGAGCCTGGAGCCTACTTCAGATTCTGTGTCTCCCCCTCTCTCTACCCCTCCAACTGCTCACGCTCTGTGTCTCTCTGTCTCTCAATAATAAATAAATGTTAAAAAAGAAGTCATTCTTCGGAAGAAAATAATTTATCATTTCTCTGCTTTCACTGGGGAGTATTTTCTCTTTTGGGAGAAAATAAAACATAAAGGCTATTAGAGTAAAGACCTGTTTTTAATAGAAATATATTATTGTTTGCTTTTTGTACATTGTTATCTTCTTTTTTTCTCCTAAGGGTTCTTTGGTGACATGCGAGTTTCTTCTACAGAATGGTGCTAATGTGAACCAAAGAGATGTGCAAGGGCGGGGCCCACTGCACCATGCCACTGTCTTGGGGCACACAGGGTAAGCTGTTGAGCTTGCATATTTAACTAGATTTTATTTGAAAAATTATTTTGAAATATCATTTTGCTTTTTCTTAGGCTAAGGTCATTAAGTAGAGTTTGTAAAATGATACCTTCCTGTGACTTATATTGTCATGATGGAATTTCAAATTTTAAAAATCTCCTGCAGAAAAAAGCTACTGTTACTTTTCAGAAAAGAACATTGCAAAGCTTATTTTGAACTTTACTTGCCATTTATGTAGATCAGTTTTAGTATTTAAAACTGTTACTGAAATTATGGTGATTTTTTTCAGACAACTAAGTCTATGTATGTATTTATGCATGTTCACATATTTATATACATAGCATGTGCAGTTGGGGAGAATTTTATAACTTTGGACATTTTAGTTTTCTCACAGGGTACCTAAAGTCAGACTTTAACTTTTAGCTTGTGCTATTGATATGGAGGCTTCTGAAGCAGTATTTAGACTCACAGAACAATAAAGCCTTGAAAATTACTTTTGTTGTTGTTGTTGTTGTTGTTTTTTGAAAATGGACTTTCTAATAGAAGGTACAAATGAAGTCAAAATGTTGACCTTAAATGAAAAATTTGTGTCATAGATGATTGTTTTTAAATAAAATATCTCAGGATATCCAATTCTTATTACCCCAATAAACAAGAAGCTGGGTATTTTTTTTTTTTTTATGTTTATTTGAAGCATCTTGTATTTTTTAAAGCATTTTCTATTCTTATCATAGTTTGCTTTCCTTCTGTCAGCAAAGAGATGCTGAGTTCAATGACTTCATCATACAAACTTTCGGATACTTAAAAGTGATTGTATTTGATTCATCTGTGTATTTTCTTCTTAAACAATCATTCTTCCCATTTTACTTCATAGACTCCATTTACTCATTCTGTCATATTTTTTCATTTTTGTCAGTTTCTTCAAGTTATCAATATTTGTGGAGGATTACCTTCTTTGCTGTTGAATTATTGTTGGTATAATGTTAACGTTGCCTTGGCTTCCTTCTTTCCCAAATAATGACCTTAAGTGATGCTGTTTTGTTTAAGTTCATGGAAATATATGTACATCTTTTTCTGATATTGTTTGAGGATAGAGACCATAATTTATACATCTCACCATCCTACATAGCACCAAGTTAAAAGGGGAAAACACCTTGAGATTTGTAAAATGGTGATCATGGTAAATTTTTATTGTTCAATAAATAGTTATAGAATGAGTCAAGAATTTCCTAATGAAATGCTATTTCTTTAAGTGAGATGGTGCTTTTGATTTTTTTATGGTGAATACTAATATTTTTTTCTTATTGGCCATATATTAAAAATACTGTTTCCTTAAACAGGCAGGTATGTTTATTCCTAAAACGAGGTGCCAATCAACATGCCACTGATGAAGAAGGGAAAGACCCTTTGACTATAGCTGTGGAAGCAGCCAATGCTGATATAGTGACCTTGTAAGTGTCTTCTTTTTCCTTGATTATTTTTCAGACAGTTGTAGTACTTAGTTTCAGTGTAGTACTTAGGTTCGAACATAGTTTCATGCATAGGTATGAACTATAAACTTGATTGTTTAATGTGTACCATGTACCTTTTTAAGCACATTTAATGTATTACATATAGGAACTTATTTGGCTCTCACAGCAACCCTATGAGGAACATATTATTAGCTTTATTTTATAACGATACCACGCTGCAGATAATTTGAGAAACTGGTAGCTCATGGAGCTGGGATTTGAAACTAAGAATTTTGGCTCTAAAACCCATGTCCTTAGCCACTTTTTAAATCCTGCATGACCAGTAGGAACAGAAAACCCATGTCTTCTCTAAAATGGATTCTTTAATTTTCACTACAGTACTAGGGCAGGGGGTGGATTGGTACAGTAACAGGCAATTATTCTGTTCAAAAATCTGCATTTATTCTACCTTAAGAGTTAGAGGATTATAAGTAGGGAGGACAGCTGCACTGATGTTAGCAACTTTTGCAGTTGCATTGCCTTTGGGCAGTGATGCTTAGGGATCCGTTTGTGCTTATTTTTTTTAAGGAGTTGTTTACATGAATACTCTATCTTAAGATAAAAATACCTGTTTTTTAATGTTTGAATACAATTGAATATGATCTGTTAAAGAAAGACTTTTGAGATCTTAATTTGATTTTCATCTTAGATCAAAGTTGTTTGTTTACACTGGAATCTAAAAAAGTGATTGCCACTTACACTTTATTGTGATGTAGGAAATATGTTGTATGAAGTCACTTACTCGTTCTGTTCTGTGTTGCCTGAAACCCAGAATTACTGATCCCCTGTTATATGAGTATTGATAGTTTCATTCACACTACTGAGTCTCAGTCACCTACAAAGGGAAACTTTCCCAACTGCCTTGAACTCCTGAGCTGCCACTGAGAATTCTTGACTTGTCATATATCACTCCTCCCTGATCCCTGCCAAATTAAAACACAAGGCAAAACAGTAAAACATGCTTTCTCTGCACTCAGTGTCCTTTCCCCACTGGAGAGGTTATTATAATTGTGGAGACTATTGGAGGAAAATTTAGAACTATTAAATTATTATAGATTCACAATTGGAGAAAGAGAAGTTATTAAAGAAAAGATAGGAATAGCATAGAGAAAGGAACCCTGGATGCAGCTTCCCAGGCAGTTCTTATAATAATGGCCCCTTTACCTCAGAAATATCTGTTCCCAAATTGTCTAAATTTTCTCATTTTACTTTGTGTGAAGACTTCAGTTTCATTTAATAATTTTTTAAAGTAATGGTCCTCTCTGAAAAGTCCAAATACCAAAGAGAGACCTAAGGCGCTATTAATTCACACAGTGGTTATGAAAAGAGATGGAAGGGAGTGGTAGTATTTTGGATAGAGGGAAAGCTCACGTCAGATGCTGCAGTTGCCAGAAGTGCACGTTAGAAGAGGGTGATATAAGTCTCGGTGGGCAGTGCACCCACTGCCTGAAGGTGGGTGGCCCGAAGGACAGACAAATAGTGAAAAGTAGGAAGGGGCACTGAAGGTGACATTTGCCTGTTTCAGAATTGTTTAAGGTTAGTACAAAAATGGAAGGAAATTCTTGTCTTCTTAATCCAGTGCTGTATATCTTCCTGCTGCCAGGATGAATACCCCACAAAAGAGTGTCTAACCGAATGGTAACCTTGGTAAAATCTTAGCAACCTATGGTCATTTAATACATCAAAATACGTTTCCACTATTTAGACATAACACATGCCATTTACATTTTTGGAACTACCTCACCTCAGGGTGAAGCTGAATAAACTTAAACCATACAGTAGGACATTCCATACTGTAGAAGCAATACTTTGAACAGTTGCTGGAGAAGCCGGGGAGTCTCTGAAGTCAGGAAGTAAGCTCCTGGAGGTGCTCCAAAGGTCCTGCTTAAACAGTGATGAAATGTATTTGTTAGAAATCTTTTATTGTCAGGGCACCCAGCTGGCCAACCCAGCTGGCTCAGTTGGTGGGCAAGCATGCGATTCTTGATCCTGGGGTTGTACATCTGAGCCCCAGTTTTAGTGTAGAGATTACTTAAAAATAGTTAAAAAAAGAAATCTTTATTATATTCTCTCATGAGAATTGTATAAAGGGAAACTAAAACTAAAACCCCATCTATTATAGTGGTAAACACTAGGAAGAGAAAAAAGAGAGAAAAAAGTGTGTTTTATCTGCTTATACATTTCATTGGTTTGTGGTTTCATTACATACTTTATCTAAAAATCCTTTCCTTTGATTTTAGGTTACGTTTAGCAAGAATGAATGAAGAGATGCGGGAATCAGAAGGACTTTATGGACAGCCAGGTCAATATTCTACTAATAACCATACTGAAATGCAGTATAAGAAATGCATTCAGGAATTTATTAGTTTACAATTGGAAGATTCATAGTTCTTTAGCAGACTGGCTTAATATTCTGGAGTTTTTATAACTTACTTGTAAATTGTGAGTTGTTATGTATTGTACTTACTGAATTCTCGGGAGCAGCTAACTCCCGAGCCTTTAGAAGTCCGTAACTATTCCTATTCCAGTACACATTTACTTGCTGTGTTCAACTTTGGCTGCTGACTTCGTTACCTGCTGTACAGATGTCTTCCATATACATTCCAGTGACGCGGATGGAATGGTGACCTATATTTATACCCTCACAGCAGCACAATGGTCATTTTCATTTTGGAATTCTCTTTAGCTGTCAAGTGAATATAACAGAATTGTTTTCTTTTTGTTATTCAGGGAATTTCTATGAATTGCGTTCAGGGAAAAATACAAATCACCATGTGTTTGGCATATAAAAAGTCAGTATGGAAAATGCCTAGAAAAAAGTTTATTGAATTAAGAGTTTTGCACTCTGATCTAAAGATAAGTTTTAGAGTTAAAAATAAAATCTACTAGTAGTTTAAGAAGCCCGGAATGGGAATGGAGTTAGTTTAAAAGGTATAGAGAAAAGGTCTCACTTTACCTTGTAGCTTTGCCCCGAGCAATTGTACATTATCTGTTGGGTAAATGTAAGTATTTAGAACAGTATTTCATTAACCTGATGGTAAAGTAAACTTGTTAGAGAAATCTCAACTCAGGATCAGCCCAAGTCTCATTTTGTGTAATTTTCACCTTTGAGTCAGGATGTCAAGAAAAGGAAGAAATGTTGCTAATCAGATTCCTTTCTTTGAGGAACACATCCTAGTTAGACATTCTTCACGAAGAAAAGAGTAATCATTGGATCTCCAGTTTCATGAATTTGATTATATGAATTCCTAATTTATCTGTTTTAAATTCATATAAGTATTAGTAAAAGATTTCAGGAATTCATGACTAAAATAATTGTAATGTTAGTTTTTAATAAGTATATTTAACTTTTAAAAACGAATATTAATGTATTATTTTAAAAGTGGCTTGGTAATATTATCTATTCTTCCTGTTTAAATATGTTTTGAGATTTCTGTATTTTATGCTAGCTTCAGCCATTAACCTTTACATAAGTGGATTAGTATATAATTAATATGGGGCCATTCTTTTCTCGGAGGACTGTATTTACTACTTCTTGTTGGTCTAGTTTAATAGGGAACAAGTAAGAACTTTGAGAACAGAGACACTTCAGCTAGATACTTCTAATCTAGGGTGTCCCACTTTAATCCTATGGATCAGACAATACTACTGACTCATGATACACCAAGATGTAAGAGTGCTGATTAAGGGTGAAGTCTCAGCATTAATTCTGAATTTCACCCATTTGTTTTAAACTTGAATGTTAGATTTTAAATAAGTTATAATTTTGTAACAGATATACTTAAGTGAGGGTATTACTAGGCCATTTTTAAGGCCTTTGTGTTTAAGCACTTTAAAAATAAAAATTATTCAAAGGATACGACCTGATATTTGTGAGGTAAGAGTGAACTTCAAGATTTTAAGTTAAACAATTCTTTTTCCTCACATTTGAAACTTAAATGTTTGGTCAGCTGTTCTTTCGTTGAGCAGTTTGCTGATGAAGTTACACCCAACTGATTAGTCATAAGGTCAGTGGTCAACTTTCCTTCGGAGTTGGGAAACTTGAAAGGACAGGGCCTCTATGTTCTTGTGACTTCTAGTTCCACCCAGATTGCTTGGGCTTCTTCTGCCACCATTTAGGAGCATTCGAATGTCTCTTTCACTGTCGTTTTATGTATAAGTTTATGGGTATGCATCTTCCATTCCCCAGTAGAAAAATGAATTTTTCCAATTTATTTGACCGAAAAATGTTTTAAAAGCCTCATTTTGGGGTGCCTGGGTGGCTCAGTCGGTTAAGTGTCTGACTTCTGCTCAGGTCACCATCTCACAGTTTGTGGGTTCAAGCCCCATGTCAGGCTCGCTGCTGTCAGCGCAGAGCCCGCTTTGGATCCTCTGTCCCCCCTCTCTCTGCCCCCCAATTCTCATGTGCTCTTTCTCTCAAAAATAAATAAACATTAAAAAAGCCTCAAAAAAAAAAAAAAAAAAAAAACCAGGCTTTTCCACCACTCTCAAATTTTAGAGATTAAAAATAGATCAGAATTCTGGAAATGGTGTATCAGAAGAATAAAATGGGATTTTGATCTATTTGGGGATGATCTTGATGATAGATTTTCAACCCATTTAGAAGGTCTCACATGCAAAGCAGAGCAACTTTATACTTAAGGTGACGCGGTGAAATGGCACAGCAGTTGCTCCCTGGCTACTTTTCTTTTCCTTCACAAGTCTTTGGAGAGCAGATATGTTAGCTCAGGCAGTAGGGTCTTTCTTTCCCCTCCACTTGTCACTGTTATTTTTCTCTCATTGATTTTGGTTGATTGTCTTATCTAGATCCTTTTGTTGTTGTTGCCTAGCAATACCTCAGAAATTTGGGTAATTTTAAAATGCAGGTATTTTCAATCTTTTGATAATGAAGAGCCCTATTATTTAAAAGACTCAGATATAATCTTTGGGAATCGTGGATTTATTTCTAAGAAACCACACTTCTGAACCTTCTATATACAACCCTAAGGACCTGAAACTTTCTATTTTTTGCAAGGCGATATAAGAGCACACGTTTCCTGAAGGGAAGATCTATCCCTCTTTATCAGTTCCTACAACTCTTAAGAGGACTGGGTGAGTGAGTGAAATATCACGCCCCGCCCTCAGTCGTTGGAAACCTCTTTGGTGGTTCCCACAGTCTCTGGTTCCATGACTCCCCTTGATTGTTGGCAGAGTTTCTCAGCCAGTTGAAAATCACCACTTTAGTGAGCCACTACTGGTTATGCAAGTATGTCGCTAGCAAAGGTTGGTCCCTGATCTAATTATTTGTATAAAGGAAGCTGTAATCAACCCAGGAAGGGCGGGATCATATACTTGATCACCTAGAGGTGGGGTCTCACATGCTGCTGTCTCTTTGAGGGGAGTGCATTTCGAGAGCAAAATCAACAAGTCTTGGATCATCATCATTGCTGTTACAATGGATATTCTGAATACCAAAAATCAAAAACTATTTTGAACTATCAGTGGACATACAGAAGTCCACATTTTAAAAATTCTGAACTGTCTGGGCACATGGAAAAGTTAACTTTCTGAAGAGAAATAGAATATGATTAAGTAATTTAAAGGATATAACTTAGCATTACAAATATTGGGTGATTAGTTGCTTATCGTTTGTAATAAACTGTTAAATGTGCTTACGTGAGCTTTCCAGGGCAGCGAATTATGGGTTATTGTTTATGTATGCTAGTGTAGACAAGTTATATTGCCTTGGGAAAAATTCTAAATGATTAGAATTATATTTAAATTTCAAGGAATCACATTGAAGCTCAATTTATGTTAACTATATTAAATATCTTAGTCACTATTGTTATTGTAATGTTTGTTTTTTGATAATATATTTTGAGGCCTAAGAAAGGTATTTTATTGATAGTCCATTAATTAATGTTTTGTTAGAAACTGAATGTTAACAGAAAGTTTTGTGTGTGTGGAAGGTGAGACTTCCTTTTGTCTTGTATTAGCTCTAAAATGTATTCGTGAAACCAATGATTAGTGTAGCACCAACACTTTCCTTCAAGGAAGCATTTAATTCAGTGAATAAAAGATCTTATAATTTGTTTTGCATGGTACAATGGTTCTACTAAAATGTACTTGTGTAATAGGTACTAGATGATTTAAGAACAAAAGCTGGAAAACCACAAAAAAGAAAAAACCCTACAGTTTGTTATACAAAATATGCATTGCTAATAGTAGAAGCCATATATTGCCATTGTACTGTTGTAATACTTAAGAATGCTCATCTGGTGCTATCTGTAAAGTATTTGGCATTAGCGTCTGCTAGATCCTTCTTCCTATTTCTTCTTGAATGTATAATGTGTGCCTTTTAAGTTACTTCTGGTGTTGAATGGTAAGATCAGTGTGTTATTTTTGTATTATAACCTGCACTTTACACTTCCTTGGAAAGTAAAATTCCAGACTCTCAAGTTTAAATAGTATTTTAAAAATATTTATAATGTTTACAATAAATATTTTCAATATTTTAATTCAACATCTAAGAATATGAATTTTTAAATATTTTGTATGGTTTGTTATATTTAATGTTGGTCTCTTCTCAGTTTATTTTATATCTTTTAGAATGGCTAAAAATGGGAATAGGTTTGTAGTTTGTCTTTTAACATGGGAGTTTACCTTTTAAAAAATCATGGGTGTAATTGGATTGTCTTAACAGTTGTTCCAGTATATCAAATTTCATTTTTATTGTTTCAGTAACAGAATATGAGTTAGATGGTACTCTTAACCAACTATCAAGATTTTCTTCTTACTGTATTTTTTCTTTTTAAAGTAGATTGATTCAGGTCATGAGAAAATTTCCAGGACTAAATGAAAACTATATAGAGATTTTAATAACTTGCTTTTTACATAGACTAAATGTTAAAAGTGACTAAAGGTTAAAAGTATTAACTTTTTTTATTGAAAATCTTGAATTATGCTGTTAGACCTTTATACTAGATCTTTATCCCCCTCCCCCACCTTTTTTCTGATTCTCTGGCTTTTGGTATGACACCTGTTGCCTCAAAAATCTTGCTTTTTAAAAGCTGATAAAATCAACTGCACTATTAACAATTGTAGCAATGAGTTTGTAATAAGATGGATGCAAGATATCTTATGGGAAATAATTATAAAACCATGCTGCAACAATAATCATTTAAAACACTTTTGACGGTTTAAATCTTGAAAACAGAGCTATGCTAAGCTTCTGTGTAAACCTAACGTCTGTCAGAAGTATATATGATGAAAGATTGATCTTGAAAATGAGATTTTACTTTATACAAATCCTTAGTCTGAGGAATTAATCTTTATGTGTGCATATAACTAGTTTGTCATGGCAAGAAAAATAGTATTCAGTTGGCTATAGTATCAGTATCTACAATCTACTTCTCTACGAGCCTATTTGTATGTACGTACATACATGCCTTATGCTAATTTAACCGACATCTTTGGTGTTTATTCCCCTTTGTCATAGCATTCTTGCTCATATGACCTACAGTAAGCAAAACACTTCTGACAAAATAGGAAACTGATCTTACAGTCCTTTTCTAGGCTTTATTATTCTATAAGCTCCGTAAGCAGTGGATTAGGTGTATTACTTTTAGTTAAGTTTGAGTAAAGAATTTCTTGTTCACATGCTATTTAAATTAAAATGCCTTTTAGCTCAAAGATAATTATTAAAATAGGATTTTTTTTTTTTTGCTCACCTGGTTATCAGTTTTGTCTTATTAATAACTTGCATCCATCAGAAGCATTAGTATTTGTTATTGGTCTTTTCTTTTGGCCTTGATCAAGGGAAATATTTATTTAAAGAATGCCTTGTTTACTATACCTCATTTAGAATGACTTTTATTTCTATGTAAATAAATGTATTTCTTTATATTGCTCTAAAACACTTGCATCTTTGCTCTTTTCTAACTCTGAGCTTTCCTCTGTGGCTGCCTCTGAGGTGCTTTTCTCAGGTATAGCTGTTTCTTTTCTTTCACTATGTGCTTTTCTAGCATTTATATTTAGTGGGTCTTTTTTTCTCCCCTATATGCTCATCTGAGTAAAATTTGAGTATGGTTAATTATAATATAGTTACTAGCCATAAAATGAATGTTGTTTATTAACACTTTCACTGTATAAATTTTAAAAGTGTCTTTATTTTACTTTCATGCAGGTGATGAAACCTACCAGGATATTTTTCGTGATTTTTCCCAAATGGCATCCAATAATCCAGAGAAACTAAATCGTTTCCAACAAGATTCACAGAAATTCTGATTTTGTTTTAAAGAAGGGGAAAAGATTAAATTGAATGATCCCCTAATGTACTAATGTGTACGTCTGAAAACTCACAAATTTTTACTGCCTTAAATCTACTTAATTTTAGTAGGTATTGAGTGGTTTGGAAAAAAGGTACCCATTCATTGATATTTTTATAAATGAAAACATAGAGTTCTAGTAGTTGGGAGAAGAACCTAAGGACCGCTTTTATTTAAAAAAAAAAAAAAAGCCTGTTTAAAAGGCTATTTTTTATAGATAAAGTTAAATCTAGACCTAGGCCATCTCTAGGTTACAAGATGCTAAGGTTAGACAAAATTTCTGTTTTTTTCCAATGGTTGGTAGCATTGGTTTTTGTTTTCCATTCATCGTGCCCAGGATCATTCAGTCAAGCATGTCTGCATCAAGTGGGAGCCAACTGTCCTGCCTGCCTGAAGAATATGTCTTGTCTTTAGCCTCCCTGATGATTTTTGGTGGTTCATGTGTGGTTTTGGTAGCCTAGCCGTCATACTCACAATATGTAATTTCATTATCAGAACTAGAGAATATGTTTACCCCGTTTGCTCATTAATGTAGTGATACTCCTTAGACGTCTGGTTATTGTTGTGTACTTTAACATACATGTAATGGCTGTACAAAGTAGACTGAACTCAGGTCCTTTAGAGTTACTCCATTTTTTGGAGGAAAAGAACCCTTAACATTTTTTTTTTTTAAATCACCAAAAGAATTCTTACTTAAAGAAATTGTAGTCCTTCATTGTTCGGTTGATTTCCTAAAACCTTGACAAATTTATTGATGTAATAAAACTATGTTTCAAAGGTTACTTGAATGTTGCAAAAGTATGCTTTCATCAAATTGTAATTTTTAAAGGAAAAGTTGATTTATAAAATAATGTAGAACATTTTTATATTTGAAATTTGTCCTTTTCAAGATAGATTTTTGCTGTTGCACTGAGTGAAAGAAAAATCTCTGAAAAAGAAAAAACTCATGTTTTTCTTAGGTTATACTGAAATATATAATGATAAATTGTTTTTAATTGTTTTCAACATCTATCCTGTGTACTTTTATACACAGTGTATATGATTTTAAATTAATACCGTCTATATATAGATATAGTGGTTGGCTTACATGAAACAGAGACCCTTGAATTCCAAAACCTTACAGATCTACTAATTTATCATGTAAATGCTATAAATTCGTCTGATTCCATCTTTGATTGACATATCTTGTCAGGAGTATAAAATAAGTAATTTGCCTTATGGTTTCTAATAATTGTCAACAATTAAATTTAATCTTTTACAAGTTACATGTAAGTAATATTATTGATACCCAAATTCTAAATAAGAATTTTAAAAATTTGGGTTATCAAACAAGTAGAAAGATTACATTTAATTTGGCAGATAATAAGTTTTCTAACATTCTTCCCCCCAATAACTAGAGTTTTATAAGTTGATTGAATGTCAAATGAGGATTTGTTTAAATAGGAATTACACTGAGGTAAATTCATGTCACAGCAAAGTTTCCATATTTGTTTCCAAATTGTGTGCATATAATGCTTATTTAGTAATAATCACAGTGTATTAGATAAGGATAAAATATATTTATGAAATATTTCTAAGAAAATACTAACTTCCACAGCCTGTATTTTAATTGCAACAATAACAGTAACATTATGAAATCTTCCCTGTTTCACCTCATAGTCACAGGTCATCTGGCTTTGCAAAAGTCTGGTTTGTAAACCTTTTTATTAGAGTGTACTTTGAAATTGTCCAAAAAGTTCAAGGATAAGGAAATATGTTTAAAACAAACCAAAAGAAAAAGAGGGCCTCACCTTTCCTTTGTAGTGCCTATTCCTGAATAATAAGTAATAATATGTGAAATTATACCTAAGCCTGGTAGAATTAGAATATAGACTTCCTGTTTAATCGTAGGGCTTCACTTCTGAAGCTCCTAGCCTTTATCTGGGAAGCCTGGACAGTTTGGCTTTTGGATCCAGCCGTTGGGTGCTTCAGATCACCTCCGGGATCTCTCCTTGTGACGGCAGTTCCTTATGACACTCTTAACTCCTGTGGCTTGAATCATGAGTTGTTAATGTGGTAGTAATTAGTGTCTACCTAAATTTAATGGTTAGAGATGTATTTGAAGGGTACTCACTTTAAAGATGATCGTGGTTCTGAATATCTTCAGAGAAAGCTAAATCTTTTAACAGTATACTGAGCCTGGCAATACGAAAATACATTCCTGTGGCTTGATTTCTTGAACATGCCAAGACTCGGTTTGGATGAAATTTGGCAGAAATGATGCAGTCAATATAGCAAGGCTTTAAAGTCAATTACTAGTGTTACATAGTCACAAAGTAGATTGGCTCTTACCAAGGTGAATTTAGCTGTGTCAACTAATAGCTTTTATATAGTATATAACAAATCTGAGTTTTATTATGCTGTGAATTATTCAATGCATTATGAGAAATTATAGTGTAAACAATGTTAATCATACTGTTGGGCTTCATAAGTCAATGTGCTTGCCCTTTGTTTTCTTTCCCTAACTGATCTGCTTATATTAGTTTCTGATTCCTAGTCAGTATTCTATTAGCTCATTATCATTAGCGCAGTAACTTAAAAGCTAGATTAACATCAAAATAACAATAGCAGTACTAACTACGAAGAGCTCATAGAATGCAGTCTCACACGCTAGAACTAGACTAAAGTAATTGAGTAGTTCTTTGCAGTGTTTCCTTGTAACACCTATATGTTTAAGATTTCTAAGGTATTTAAAAATTACCTTTGTTACAATCCTTAGAAACACAGAAATTTCCAGGGATTCACTACATTACAGTGTTTGCCTAATTTATACTGGTCTTCACTATTGATTTTAATGAACTTTGATGTTCACTTTCCAAAACATAATTTAATTTGGAATATGTACTTTGGTTCTTCATGAGTGCATTTTGGAAAAAAAAAAATTATACCTTCGCAGGCTGGACAACTTCAGTTTGTGATGTGTTAAGCAGTATTTTAAAAATATAATTCTACACATGTAAAGTATAGACATGACAATAAACCAAATTGTATTTAAGACTAAATTTACTACCCATTTTGGATAATAAGATATTCCCATACCACTCTTATATTGCCATATTAACTTTTCTGCTTGATAGCACTTTTGACCATGGACAGGAGCAGGAAAAAGGATATATTTTTATAGAATTATTATGTCCAGAATGACTTTTCAGACCTGCATGATACAGTGCAAAGAGCACTGACTAGTAGTTACTCTCCTTTTTGGATTCAGAGCTTCTCACAAATAAAATGAGTGGATGAAACACGGTAAAACTATGACAGCATCCCTTTGTCTTCTCTTCTGCTCGCAGTGTACTTTGATACTACTCTGTCTCACCCGATTCTTACACTAGGACTTCTGAAGAATGCCGTCGTTTCTCTTCTTTGATCCTGGGCTGCTCCTCTTGTTTTACAGAGGGGAGCCATTGATTTTCTCATCGGTGGCACGGCTGACACCAGAACCCCTGTCTGACTACTAGTCAGAGGCACTTTACTTGTATCGTGAAATAAATTGAAATCATTATAAAGCTGCAAAATCTGATAATGCCTGCCAGCTTTCCTTGTGTTTTGATAACAAAGACCAAATATTCTGAAGAACCTGGATATAAAATTATCTTGAAGGAATAGATTAGGATTTGAAGCCATTAAATTATAGGAAATATTACATTTTTGTAATGACAAACATTAATGAAAGCAAAACATGGTAAGGTCATTTTAATTCACCATATACTTACCAAAGTCTTGATGTTTCCAAATGAAAGGTAACCTAGGGCTTGGATTCAGTTTGGCTGAATCCTAACATCTATAAATACGATTCTGTGGACATCTTTTTCCATTTACATACGTTTATCTACTTAAATAAGGAGAAGGAAGCAAGGTTTGATTAAATAAACTTTTCTCTGCATTGGTCTTTTCACTGACTTGTGTTCTAGATTTTCTTATTTTTCCTCAACAACCCCCTGCTTTGGGTGTTAATTTTAAACAGGGAAAGCTTGCTACATTATAAATATTGCTGGCAACATTTATTTTACACAAAGGCCTAAAGGTTAACTTTTGGAAATGATGAGCTACCTTTCTATATGTGTTTACTTGTGTTTTGTGATATTTCTGGATCATTCCAGTCATAAAGACTTATTACATGTAATATTTCTTGCTACCTGTGAAAAGGAATATTTTAAAGAATGTATAACCAACACTCCATTTACTTTTTATTAGTATGTAGAGGATTTGTATCTAATTCATGAATGTAGTTTTACTGTAGTTTGTCATTGTAAATGGAACAAAAGTACATTATCTTTATAGTTATTCTAAAATGTACATTATGTAAGAATTGTAAATATTATACTTGATTAAATACTTTGTATGCTGAAGAATTATGATAGTAGGTCAATAAAAATCTCACCTCTGGCATAGTTCTTTTATGTTCAGACTTGAACTTTATTATGAACTACAACTGCAGACATATCTGTTAACAACTGTCACGTTTATTTGTTTTTTAAAGCCACTTTTTAATGTTTATTCTTATTTTTGAGAGAGAGAGAGAGAAAGAAACACAGAATCTGAAGCAGGCTCCAGGCTCTGAGCTGTCAGCACAGAGCCTGATGCGGGGCTCAAACCCACGAACTGTGAGATCATGACCTGAGCCAAAGTCGGATGCCCAACTGACTGAGCCATCCAGGTGCCCCACCAACTGACATGTTTAAAGTCTTCTATTCCTTTCCAACTTTGTCAGATTGATCCAGTTGATTCTATTTGCTGATTGCTTCAATCAGGAAATCCGTTTTGTTTGTTTGTTTGCTTATTTATTTATTTCACAGTGCATGAGAGCAGGGGAAGGGCAGTGGGAAAGGGAGAGAGGGAATCTTGAGAGCATTGACTTGAGCTGAAATCAAGAGTCAGAGGCTTAACTGACTGAGCCACCTGGGTGTCCCCATTTTGATCTTTCAAATATTTTCTTCCTGTTCACAGAGCTGTATGCTCTCAATTCACAGCTAAAAATGACAAAGGCTTGTGTGTGTGTGTGTGTGTGTGTGTGTGTGTGTGTGTGTGTAGGGTAGCCCTAATTCTAATTATTTTCCATTATGATTGACATCCATTGATGTTCCCAGTCTAGGCAACACATTTGTACTCATCCTTTTAGTAAACAAAAGCATGTTTTTATATGAATTGACATAGAAGGAAGGGAGGGTTGAAAGAATAGACCTGGAAGTGAATTGCCTACTATTGCCTTAAGTTAATTAAAAGCAGACACATAAAACATTTCAATGTGACTTGCTTTATTCCACTTCATTTCATTTTCAGAATAGTTCTGTGAAGAAGAGAACCCGCACCTATAGTCAATAAAATTTTTAAATGAAAATAAGCAACCTACTTTTTCCTATTGCAATGTTTTTTCATTGTAGACAAATGTTTAATAATAAGTAAAAAAGATAATCCTCCACAATTCCATCATCTGCCTGTGCTCTCCAATATGGTCTCTACTAGCCACATGTGGCTATTGAAATTA